ATTGGCAACAGGTGGCTGTTTTTTAGTCAAATTCCTGATAAATACGAGGATTTAGCAGTCAGCCCCTATACTTCCCTTCATTTTAATTTGAGTTGTTCTCAAGATTAGATCGAGTGGAAACCTTCTATCTAATGGATATTGTTGGTTTCTTCAAACTGGTACAGGTTTATGTTTTATTGCAATCAGAGAGATGTATCCTTGAATTTTCTATGAAGTTTGATTTTATGCACTATTATTTCAAATGAGTTGCAAGTGAAATTTGGAGTCTGGAAACTCCACCATTACTGATTTCCTCTGTTTAACAAGTCTATTTTTAACGCCCAGTTTAAAGGAAGCTCTTGTGTACTGTAAATCACGACTCCTTAAGAAGAGATATATTCTAAGATTTTGCTTTTAAAGTATAGGAGACTACAGCCAATGGACCTGCCTATTAACTTCACATTCAAGTATCCAAGTATACAAATAATTATAATTATTTGTGTTCTGTCTCTTGATATCAGCTCGTTCCTCTAATCGTCGCTTTTTCCTCTACAAGAACTTACAAAGGAGCCTTCCCTCCGTAATGTTTTTTCTCTCCATCTATCTTCCAGTATGGTCTCTGTTTAAGTGTATTCCAGTTTTTTACAATATTTTTTTTTTTTATCAATTAACAAGTTCCTTTTATTTTGTAAATCTAATTAATATATTTGTAACCAAACTGAAGTATTTGATTACAAAAAACTTCCGAATATCCTGATACAGTGTTATTCAGATCAATTCGGTAAATGTGCACAGTGGAAATGCAAACCCAAAAAACAAGATGTTAGTATCCCTCAATTTCATGATAAAGTACCTTAGTTCAAAGTAAATTTCAAGCTCTCTGACTTCACACAATGGAACAAAGTCACGCTGCTGATAGTTCTGCAAATAACCCATAGGCCAGTCATTGTCCTCATGGCAGACCTAATACTTATTCCTGTCAATGTCGGAACATCCATGAGATACTATTATTATGATCGAAAACCTTACATTAGATTAGATAGCTCAGGAATAACGGCTGTGATGTGCAGTTTTTCAGTTTTCCCTTTGTAAAAAAAAAAAAAGAAAAAAAAAATCCAATCCGAACTCCTAGGTACCTAATCGGACCAAAAACAGTGAGTTATGTTCTTCATTAGTTTTTTCCTTTTGGATGCTCAGCCCCCTTGGCAGATCACATTTTGCGAGTTACTGGGCAGTGCTTATTTCCTAAGTTTTGGCTCAAAATCATGCTGGGAACTTAAGTCATACTTCAATTGTTTATTCTAAACTAACAGCACCCATTTCTTCTTGGAATACCCCGCAGAATCCTTTACTTAGTGACAGTACACTTAATTAATTTTTACTGTATCTACGTGATTCATACTACATCACTGATCGGTTGGATATCTCAAAGCATGGATTGGGAAAAATACTCTTATAATAAAAAGTTTCTACTCTTTCCATTATTCTAACTGAAAAGAAGATTGTGTCAAAAGAGGTATCCTTCCTCACATCACATTAGCTTTCACAGCTCGGTGTCCTTTAATTCCCTTTTTAGCCCAAAAGAAATCTGTTCGAAACTAACCTGATGATATTCTGTTGTATTTTCTTTTGTAATGATGTACTATATTCAAAGAATATGATTTTTTCCGCTTCGAATGGAAATAATTAAATCCAGAATTTAAATAGTAGCCTAGAGCACAAAGGTCTTATCCACATATTTTTCGTTTCAAGCCAATGCGAGAAAACTACCCAGTGGCCCTATTACTTTTAATGTAACTTGCAATTTTTACATTTCGTGTCTAGCATTAGGAGACAACTGCCTACCAAATACTTTCGCATGTAAATACAAAGCTCCTCCAAAAAATATCGAGAATGTGAATAATTCGGTTTTCCCAAGCCCACATTGTACAGAGATATTCAGCTTGTGGTACACCCATCTCTGCCTGTATGAGGTTTGGAACGCCTAATAACCCAATCAATGCATCCCTGACATCTAACTATTATAATTTCACCCTTATACACTCAATTAGTTCCACCCATGACTGATTGTTAACTTTTTATGCAGGCATTTCTCCGTATTCGCCTTCTTCATTAGATCTGGCTATGAGTGATATGCATGGTTTCCTCGACATAAAATAGGATTCCAGGTGTTAATGATTTTCTGCTGTAGGTTCATGAAATTTATGAAAAACGGCTGCGATGTTTGGGAGGGGAATTGCTTCAGTTAGTAGAGCTTATGCCATCCAATAAAAAGTGTTGTAAGACGAGAAAGCTACACGGAATAAACGTATTTTACTTTCTCCCAAAAGGAGTCAATAGCATGAAAGACATAATTGTGTTTTAATAGTCGAATCTCAACTCAAGTCAACAACTCATCGAATAATATGTTTGAACATAAAGTTTTGGTGTCAAATATCAACAATAATAATTTCATTTGAAGAACGAAAAGATAGCATCTTTTAAAAGTTAGTGCATGCCTTGATTTCCTCCATTAGGTTTTCATCAATGATGCAAGTGGTGAAACCAATGTCAATTTTATTCATCGCAACTAATGAAAAATATTAGAAGAAACCAAGGTATATACTGTCCGAGTGGATGGCATCATCCACTGTTCTTCAAATAGTAATACCTCCATTAAAATTGGACCGAAAGCTTAAATGTTTGGATAAATGTTGTTTGATTGTTTGTTGCTTTAGTTTGATCATCGATAATATCCAGCCTTAAAAACATAATTCTATTACAAGTGAAAGTGATCAAACGATACTAACTTTCATTTTTTGGAATTGTATGCACTCAATCATAACTGATCAAAAATCAATTGTTGACTTGAGGTAGCAGAGACAAAAAATTTGACGATATGGGCGACGGTGAAATATAATAGTATACAAAATTTTTTTAAAAGGTACTGCAGATAACTCCACATTGCCTTGCCCTATCTGCTCTTGGAAGAAGACAGACACTGAACAACTTTTGACAGTATATACTGTCATAATTTGATCATAACTAAGTAACTTTGATAATTAGGCTGGAGTTTTACATTGAAGAAAAATGAAAAAGATGAATCTATTCCTAGCGATCACAGAAGAGGGCAATACCTATATTTCCTGAAGAGAGTATGCATAGGAAAGTTCTATTAAGTTCAGTGAAGAAAATAGAATTGTAGTATCATTCCTACAAAAAGGCTTACCCTAAAGCCACAAAGCTTACCAGATTTCAGGAGAAAATATTTGAAACAAAATCACAGAAACGGTACCTCTTTTCTTGTTCTTTTCTCTTACTATTATGCATTTGATACTAGAGCTGATAAGGAAGATACTTCAAAAGTCTTTGATTGAATGCCATGTAGGGGTTTTAAGCTAAATTCTGCATGCAATCATTCTTTGACCAAAAAAAAAATTTGCTTTTTTTTAATACTAATTCCATACACTGATAGGGTTTGACTTCCTCTTTTTGTAATTTTCAAAGATCAGAAAGAGAAAATACAATGTAAAAAAATGAGAAACATTTAATCTTGTTAATTGTAACAAAGTATGTAGATATCATTGAACTGGGCCTACCATGTTTGGTGTTAGAACATTTAAATGCAAGTTTTTGACCATAATGTACATGTATTTTATGTAAATATGAGTGTAAATCTATGTATACAATCTTACACAAGTAAAACAACATTAATTTCAATTGATGATGCGGTGTTATTACTTACTAACAAAAATATTGCCATTACTTGTGTTCTTTTGAGGAGGACTCTCCTGAAACTGAGAGTAATGTGCCACCCACAACCTTGTCTCACAGGTCTTCAAGTAAATTTCACCTCTCAAACATAGTTCATTCTAAAGTTCATGCTAAATAAGATTTGGAATTCTTGGACTGCGACAGAAGATCTTGTGGCGTCAGTTTAGCATCGAAAGTATATGCAAGAATCAAAAAGACAGATTTTCTGTCGCAGTCTAAAAGTGCATAACTTATTTGGCGTGGACTGAAGCTGAATATGTTGGGTGAAAAGTGGACTTGATCACAATATTTTAATTTCAATTTCAATTTCCAGATACAGACACTATTCTATGATGCACCAAGAGATGGGAGATGAGAAAATTTGTGTTTAAATAAACTGATAAAAATGTTCTCAAATGCAATTAGGAGTTGGGGGTGGAAAATGATCCAAAAAATGTCCAAAATTATGAGTTAACCAAGTGTTTTGACACAAAAGGTCGTCCAAAATCACTACGACTAGCACCATTACTTGGAGACAAATGCAGCTAACGAGCTGATAGTGGTTGCAGTTGGAAGGACAGCTCAAATTCTATCGACTGAAATTAAGTTGAGCTCTTTTGGTTACCAAACGAGTTGCAATTGACAGCTTTCTGCACCCCTGCTTTGCTAACCTTGAGACGTCTGTGTGTGCTGGAAAATTATTTCTTCACTGTTCCATCAATGGACCACTAGACAAGGTACGAATTTAAGCATTCTGATACATGTATCTTAACCAGAATTTCACGTAGAACACGATTTGCGCAACGAAAATTACTGAAACCAACTCCTAACGAAGATATTAATGTTTTCATTTCACATTGATTACGAAGAATTTGAACTGCCCGCTCACAAGAAACTCAAAGCTCAACGTGAGTCAAATCGCACTCTACAACGGTTTCAACAAGTTTCTCAATCGAGTAATGTTCATTTCCCACCGTGTGTTGTTCAAACTATAAGCAATTTGCAACAGCTGAGCCAAAGCGTCAAGACTGAGGTTGCCAGATTTTTATATCGCAGAGACTGTCATGATAAACGTTTAGCGTGCGATGTGAATCACGTAGAGCATTGAGTTTTCATGAGCGGGTGGTTTTAATTCACGCATCAAGAATTATTGCATATCTTCGTTAGGAGTTGATTTCAGTAATTTTCGTCGTGCGCATCGTGTTCTGCGTGAAATTTTGGTTAAGAAACAGGTATCAGGATGCTGAAATTCGTACCTTGTCTAGTGGTCCATTGCTTTGCAATCCTCATGACCAAAATAAGAAAAAAAGAAATAGCTACAGTTTTGTCGGTGCAATTCAATTAAAATAGGTTTTGTCTTGGCAGAACTAGTATTGCCAGATCCGCTTTATCTTAACTTGATTTACCAAAGGATATTATATTATGAGAGCGCTAACTGAAAAAAGAAATTCAATGATAATAATATAATAATTTGAAATTATTCATAATTTCACTTAATAACCCTTTTGTCTGTTATTGCAATTGCTAAAAGAGTTATTTTGACTAAAACAATAGTTTTCCACTATGGATTGTAGGAAGCTTGGTAAAATAAAGCTAATCAATAGCAATGATGCACAGTTGTTTTTTTAAGTATGGCAAACTCCTTTGTCCGGACAAGGATTGGTCTGCAGATTATAGAACAATAATTTCAGTAAAGGGCCTTCGTTCTAAGCTTTCACAGACTTATTTTGAAACAAACTGAGGGACGTTTTGATTATGATCTCAGCTTGATGACAAGACAGTATTTGTTTTCAATAAGTTGAAATCTCGTTCAAAGGTGTCGACAAAAGCAGGTTTTAAGGATGACACTGCGCGCTGGTAGATGCTCGTGATGGCTGACGGATCACCGTGCATCATCTCAAGTTTAATATATTCCAACCAGAAGTCTGCAAGCAAAGAAAACACAAATGACCGATAAAAAGGAGAGAATGTTTAAGTGACGAGGCTGTAAGACATTTTTTATAATTCCAGAAGCTTCAATTACATGAAACTGAGGAGTTGTCATGAGACATCACATCTTATTTAACTAACCACTAGCAAGCAAAATGAAAGTCACCAGTTAAAAAAACGGCAAACTGACAGGTTTGTGAAACACGCTGATGATTTAAAGCCGAGGACATGCCAAAATCGAGAACATTTTGGCTGACTGCATGAGATACCACTCATTTGCAAACTTCATGGAATTCCAATCTCTGTAATATACTGTATACGATTAAAATTAATTCAAACTTTCAGTTGCACCACATCAAAGATTACCCTTTAAGGGACTAAAAAGTAATCAACTTGGGAGACATTTTAATAATAATAAATGAGTACTTTCTCTATTTCTCAGAGTGAAAATCTATGAGCCTAGATACAAGGCTAGGGAGAAATAAAACAAACCAAGACGTTTCGGGCTAATTACGTGCCCATTCTTAACTGGAACAGAAGCTAAAAAAAATAGCATTCAGGCTATTGTATCTCATCTCTTTTTTGGGCTATTTAGCATGCATTTAAACATATCTATCCTCTTTTTGCTAGCTTTCTTCTCAAGAAATTTTCGACTTGGGTCCCCTTTAGGAGTCCTTTACATTAGCTCAAGATTTTTTTTTGCATTGTATAGAATACTGGCAACTAAACTAAGCAATTACCTGTGCTAGTTGTCCCAAACTGCCGGCATGCTGCCTCGTAGACATTACGAATTCTTTTCAGGGCAAGACTAGGTCGCATAATTTCAATTTCAGCCATTTTCACATGGAGTTGAGCACAGAAAGGAGGAATTGAGTATAAGGAATCATACATCTTGCGAGCTGCACTCATGCCATTTGTGAGAGCTAGCCACTCTAGGTACATAGGTTTCAGCTGTGAGGAAATACACTCATGGCTTGAATGAACCCCTCCTTCAAATATTTCTTTGACCTAAAAAATTGGGTTAGAGATCAGACTTAAAGAAAGAAGTAATGGTCACCACTTAACAGAGTCTCATCCTTGAAAGTGTTCAAAGACCCGAAACAATTTTTTCTATTGAAGAATCAGATCAGTCTTCCTCTAAAAATACTCTTGGTTAAAACTGAAGGATCGGTATCAGTGAAAACAGTTTAAGAAAATAAAGGGATACATTCGAATCGGTCATTTTCAAAAAGAATTGAGCTCTAGAATTTGAGGAAAAAACTGTTTTTTTTTCGACAATCGACACATTCTAAATCTTGGAGGTCAAAAAAATGAATATGTGAGGAGATTTCAATTAAAAATCAGATTGAGGTTGTTTCAGAAATTTTCTTATAATTTGAACGGAAAAAGAAGGAAAAAGCGAGCTAACGCATGAGTCTATTTGAGAATAAACTGGCTTATTTCAACATATTTTCTCTATTTCAAGTCAATTATTTTGTATTTCAAGCCAAAATTAGCATGAAAACTTTCATTTACACTTTCTCTACGTGGAATGCAATAATAACTTACTGACTGCTCATCACATTACTGATGTTGCTTTTAAAGGCAGAAACTTAAAATTTAAAAAAAACCAAGATACATTTGGCTGGAAGGAACAAATCTTCAACCCTTTATTCTCAAAAATCCAAGATAATGAATGAGCGATTCAAACTGAATCAAATCAAGATAAGCAAGTATATATACCTAGCGCTTGGGCACTTGAGTATTTTCGAGAATGACTGGACCTATTAAATGTTTTTTATGAAAATTGGTTTTTCTACATGCCACTTCCCAGCAAGATGCATCTGTAGGCAATATCAAACCAACAAAAACTCAATTTTCAATTGGGGATTTCCTCAATGGGGAAGTTCTGGGGCTGTCCAATTCGATTTCCTAGGGTTCTATCCTCTATCACCCCTGAAAACATCTTTGCTCCTGCCTTCTGCATCAATATAGTCAATCCAAACTTTAGGGGTCAGTATTTCAGACAGAGATGGCTGAGTTTGGACTAAAGAGACTAAACATTTTGTTTTCTTGCCTGTTTTTGGGAGAAAAAAGCCTTCTATGGCTAGTCATGAGAGTGGACTACAGAATTTCCTCATGGAAATATTTCGATTTTGAAAAAAAATCACTACCTACATTTATCATGATCAAAAAGTTATAAGCCTTGTCCGCTCAATTTTCCAACAGAATCTGCCTCCCCTCTCTAGAAAATTTCCCTCACTTTTTAAAAAGTTAAATGAAACAAACAGAAAAAAAGAACAGGCAAAAGAAAACCATGAAGAACTTACTTTGTCTTTATCAGATAGTTGCCAGTATTGGATTGCAATTTTTAAAAGAGGTAAAGATTGTTCTCCTAAAATTTGAACGCCTTTCTTGAAAACTTCGACTGCTATTTCCTCCTGACCCTCGGAGAAATGATACCGGAGACGTTCAGTCCATAGAGGTACAGAAGTTGGTATCCACTTAGTTGCATTTTCTAGGATTGTGCCGATTTCACTGCATTTACTTTCATTTTGTAGAACCTCTATCCAATAAAGGTAATGATTTTCAGTCAATTTATTCAATTCACATCCACTATGGAAAGCTTCCCGCAGTTTTTTTCTTTTGAAGTTAGGTATTGAACTGGAGTCTTTGTTTAGCTCGATGACCGTGTCTAGGTAGAAGGCCCACATACGATCCGTAGGAAGTCTCTTCAGTGTTTCTATGTAAGAATTTATACACCGTTCTATTCTCTCTCGCACTGATTGTGTTCCATCAATATTCCGCCCATTTAATTCTAACTTGGCAATTGTATGCCATGTTAGTTCATCAGTAGGGAACCGGACCATCATGTCATTTACAATGCTATTTTTTATTTCTGCTAGAAAATCATGTTTACGGCTTATATTGAGCAAGTCAATCATAAAGTCGATGTCATTTATGTTTTTAACTGCAGAATCATACATTACTCTGACAAGGCCTCCTTTCAATATTGGATCCGAGTCTGCCGAGGCATTGACTTCGGCAGCTTCTTCGCGTTTTTGAGCTGCATACTTAACCTCTAATGAAAATGCTTCTTTGTATAGTAACTTGTCATCTTTGTGTAGATGCAAACCATTTGTTAAAATTTTCCTAGCTTTATTAATGGAATTGAAATCTTCGAATTCGCATTTTGCTGCAACTCTGAAAATCTGAGGTTTATCATGGTGAACCTCCAACATCTGTTCTAGAACACGGCTGGCACAACTATAAAAGCCCTGAAACCAAGAAAAACAAATGTTGGAATAACATTCTTGGGTCTGGTTGAGTCATTCAAATAATTTGATGCGCAGACAAAAAAAAATAACGACACATTAAATAAAAAGTCTCCAAAACACTAAGGCAAAGTGCCTCACTGAGAAATGAAAGAATTGGAGGCCAAATTCTTTTGGATTTTATCAGAAACAAGAAACTACAAGTTGACACTACACCTGCTGTAGCACATACAGGATGATACATGAGTCCCACATTACCTCTGTAACTTTTGAAAGATAGGACGGAAACTTAATATTTTGGGAAACCCTACAAGTTAAAGGAAACTATTTTTGGGACCTTCCCAATTTTGGGGGAGATCACTTTGACCGAGAAATAAAACCTAATACTTTTTGTTCAAATTGCGATGAGTTTTATTTCTGAGATCGAATGAATTCTGAGAACAACAAGTGGTTGACANGGGGGGGGGGGGGGGGGGGGGGGATGGTACAGAGGGAAATCAACATCTCTCAATGCACAGAGTATCAGGAGTTTTGAGGTCTACAAACAACTCAAGGAATTCTTATATTGGCAGACTGATCCTAACCTTCTGATGAGCTACGCAATGAATGCCTGATAACAATGGGCCTGTTGCGAACTTTTGCTAGTGCAAAAATAAAAGTTGTTTCTTGTAGAAAATGTCTCAAAAATCACGATGAGTGCATCGGCAAAGTCTAAAATGCACTGATAACTTCACAATCTTCGTAAGAAATGTGCATTTTTTTTAGCTTCCCACTTTAAAAACGATACTATGTCACAGGTGAACATTTCGTTAGAGGAGTCGTTCCATCCAACCCCTGCTCAATAACATGTTTCGCAATATTTATCGTGGCCGATGCCTCTGCGCGTAGGTCAAGGGGAGCACAAGGTCCTGCCCTAACGAGCTCCTCTAACGAAATGTTCACCTGTGACATAGTATCCTTTTTGAAGCGGGAAGCTCGATAAAAAGCAAATTTCCTACACAGATTATGAAGTTATGAGTGCATTTCAGACTTTGCCAAGGATCTCATCGTGATTTTTGAGACACTTTCTTTAAGAAACAACTCTTATATTTGCTCTAGCAAAAGTTTGCAACAGGCCTACTGTGACGGCTTTGCAAGGAAGTGACCTAACTCTGGGAGGTTGATAGATTGCTTCACTACCCTTATTAGCGAGTCTCTCTGCACAGTTTACTTTTAAAGAACCTTTATCGATGGCTAAAGTCCAAAAATACATTCCCCCAATGGTAACATAGTCAATCTATGCTCATGCTTCGCATACCTTTAAATAAAAACTAACCAACAGTTCTTCTCTAAGTTTTTTTCAGTAATTTAACAACTTCTATAGAAAATTGCACCAGGCCTTTTTTTTACAATTGGGAGGGAAAAAATAGAGAACTCCTGCAGGAATATAACTGTTTCAGCCCCCTATGTCTACCATCTATTTAGTACACTCACGGGCCGGTAAGATCGTTTTGTCTGGGCAGTCGACTAGGGATTTAGACAATCATATGTAGGGTTGGCTCAACTTAGAAAAGATAAGTATCTGTTTTAGAGAATGAATTAGGAAAAGAGACAGATGGGACTGAGTCCAAGCCAACTGTGCTAAACCTAAACCTCACATTAGTATACCTGCACGAATAACACTGGAAGCTGGAATCATTCCTAGGGAAATAGTTTCGGCTGCAACACTGGGTGTCGAGGGCTTAGGGTTTGGACTAGCTGTTTGTTGTCTGTTTGCTATTTGTCTGGTTACATTCTGTTAGGTTTTCATTTAAAAAAATAAACATCTACCAAGGTTTGAAACCCTAAAATGAAGATAAACATTTTATGTTTTTAGCCATGGCTCGGAGCTTGTGGTAGCATTGGTGACTTAAGGATATCAGCTTGACCCTGTGATATTTCAGCATGAATAGCTGATTTGTGTCAATTCATTTATTACCTAACTTGTTCACCCTGCAGAATGCCTACTGTCTCCTTGGGTAAATCCATCCCTGCATTGATTTGGGGACTTAAAAACCACATGTATAAAGCACTGGAAGATCCCTTACCACTTGTTTACAAAATTGAACGTATGAAAACCATCCAGTTAGTTGATCTGGAAACCGCCTTATAACCTCAGTGAAAAGTTTGTTGACACGACTGGCAATAGATCGTTCAATAGTAGTTGTCTTGGGATTTATTTTCATCCTCTGAAACAAAAATTGGTAGTAATCAATTTGAACATGTTGTACGACATGAAAAAGCAATTAAAAGAACTAATAATAGCACCATTATGTATAGAAATGGGTGGTTAAAGTGAAACATCCCAACTCATGTCAGAATTTAGAGAAAAATGAGGCGCTTAATTCAAAACACCTCAATTTCTGCCCCCCCCCCCTCCTCAACCCTTTTGAGCATAGTGCACTAAATCATACTTGATTGAACATACCATTTTTCAACATTTCGGACTCTTAAAAGTTTTTGCAAGGAGCTTAGGAGTTAAGGAAAGTCAATGATGGAACCTCTGTGGCTCAATATCTCTTGAAGAAGAGAGATCTCAAATTCTGATTTGAGGTAAAAATTGTCTGATATTGCAAACTTGATAATTTTAGAAGACATAACTACCACTTTTCATTTTAAAACTACATCTTTGGTATTGTTTCAGTTTATGAGATGTCAAAAAAAGTTCAAGCACATACACACTTTTTGATTAGAACAAAAAAACGGATTTTTGAATTGCTTGTATACTTCGCATGTGAAGATACTGCCTGGTCCCACTGCAGTCCAGGTCTGACATCAGTAGAAAATTCAATACTGTATTTTCTTCAGAAAATACACTAAAAAGATTGAAACATTAATCAGCTGAATACCCAGGATGACCTAAAACCACTGAGACTAATTTTCTCCTAAAAGGACCTTTCCAAATATTGAAATGTTTTTTGAGGGAGATTTCATAAAAACGTATCAGCTTTCAAATGCAATTTCAATTGCTTACCTTCAATTTTGCAGCCACTAGCTTCAGTAAGTCCATCTCATACTGTATGTAGCGTGAGTAGTCTCGCATTTTAATTGTCTTCTTCTGGAGTCCATACTCAAATTCTTTCCTCTTTCTTGTTATTATCCTACAAAAACGTGAGACATGAATTATACAAGGTATGTAAAAGGTCAGGATACTTATTGATATCTAGAGTACGGTTGCAGATATTGACATGCAGTGAGGACAAAACTTCCTCGAATAAAATTGGGAAATTTTCTGAAGGAGGGCATTGATTACCTTACCCTTGAGGAGCAGGCTGTAACAGTTCCTCTCAAAAAATTGGCTTAAATATCCGCAACTGTGATTCATAATAGCAAAAATTGTGTTGTTTGCAAATATTGAGTTGTTACTTTAAAGTCATGATATTTTGGCTGATATAAAATACAGTTTATAAACATTATATTATTTAAAAGGTATTATTCACAATTTCTTCATTTACTGTGGTTACAAGTGAGTGAAAAAAGCTTAATTTCTTGGAGCAGTTCTCGTGACAAGTTTGCGTCCATGATTAAGTAACACTAGTTTTTTGGGTTTTGCCACCAAACCTATAGGAAAGAGAGACTTTGAAGTCCCCAATTTCCCTGCAACAAAAACCTTTTCAAAAAGAAGAGTTTTTGTAAAAGCTTGGTAATTAAACCCTGAATTTCATAGCAATTTGTCATTTTAAGAAAAGAAAAAGGCCTGCTCCAAATGACAATAAATAATTTCAATTGCTGAGTTTTCTTTTCTACCTACTTTTTTGTTCCTGTTCGAAATTATTTTCTCCACACTAGTTTCATGGAATAGTTCCACTAAAATCCTGGAACACTTGCACAGTGAAGATTAAGCCTTAGTAAATGCTAAAAAAAGGAAACTTACTTAATCTTGTTGGAATCAAAAATTTGTAATCTTTCCATTTGTTCCAGTTCGGAAATCATACTTTCCGCACGGTACTCTGCAACTTCCGCCATGATGTCGGATTTTTTCTCTACAAAGTCTCTACCAAGAAAAAAAAATATTAATTATCCACAAAAGTCTAAGGGTCTTGATGGTATTGTTTAATTGCATAGTAGTGGTTAAGAGCCAAAGAAACATAGCTTACAAATTTTGAAAAAAACAAGTTATCTGCATTCTCCACATATAATGGTCAATACTTAGGTGTAAAGCAGTGTGTGTAGTGTGCTTAACTGAACCTAGCACCAAACTATCGAGAAAATGTTTTCATTGCTTGGAAATCTCCTTCATTTTCTTGTTCATTTCCTTCATTAATTTAAAGACAACTTTAATCTGGCATTAACTTGGAGAAAGTAAGTAATGCCCACTCCAGGTGATCAAATCACATTTGTCCGAAGAAAAATTAGGTTGTGTGAAACAGACAGATGAGTACAACATTCAGACGAAAAGTCGAATGGAAACTTGAATCTGGCGGCACCCTCAACCTTGAGTCAAACTTCAAAATAATCATCCCATTGGATCGGAGTTTGAAACAAAATCCTCCACCCAACATCAGCCAAAGCTGTATCTCCGCAAACCAGAAGCTAACAGAGATACCAGATTGCCATTAGACGATCTCACATGACAATGGTAAATGAATCAAATTTTACGACTTTCCGTCTGATTGTGCCGGATGAACAGTTTGACCATCTGCATGGGGCTTGCAGCAACAAGGCATGTGCCTCATTATATTGGAAAGTTTACTTAAACCAGCCATCTAAATTTAAAAAAATTCCAATGATCTGTGAATTCTGTCAAATTATAATAAATGTGCCTAAACTCATGACATGTGATGAGCTCGTTCTAACATACCATGAAATAAGTGAAATAAGTAGAGCATGATTTGAGGAAGAGAACAAATATACCAACCAGAAATTTTGCTGAGAAACCACGATTTGAATTCAGTTTCAACTTTTTAATCACCTACACAAGCTATCGTATCGAGCTTGCAATTAGAAAAATAGGAACAGACATTATTTTGACATGCATGCGGATCAGTCACAGTGCGAAACAAGAAACAAAATATTACAAATATTGAGGTTAGAAATTCGACGTGTTCGGGTGAGCCGTTCGCTGTGTTCGCGGAATCATTTAATTCCAAAGTTCGTGACAAATTTCAAGTTTGTGATCTAGTTCGTGTCACGTTTGTGTTCGGTTGTGTTGTGAATATATTGAATATGTAGATATTCTGTGGATTCAGCCCGGTCCTAGTTCGTTGCATTTCGCGGGCCGTCACTTTCATCATTTTCCCTGATAAGTGTTAACTTCAAATTAGTGCATATCTAAGAGTGTTACGAAATCATCGGAGGTTGAAAATTGAACTCTTGCAACATTTCTACACATCTGCACCATTGCTTGAGAACTGAAATATCTTTGTAGTTCTGCAAGTTTTTTACACAATTAGGAACGGATTTGTATTGTGCTGTCATGTTGTCAAAGTTATCCTCTTTTCCAATTTTTTTCCACTCAAACAAAAAGTGTGATAAAACCTTGTAAAATTCACAATCTACTTCTTGCTGCAGAGCTCTCAGTTTTCCAGAATCCCAATACAGGTCGGAGATGTCTTCAGTTATTTTACCTGGTAAGCACTTTCTTTCAACTTGTCGCGAGAATTGCCTCTCGTTACTGCGGCTCAATTATTGAAACCAAGTAGGCGCAAGACAAGACATAACCCTATCTTAACCATGCAAAATCATGCATTTTATGTCTAATCGGGCTGCTCTAAACCTTAAATAATCAGCTCTCTGATTATATTATTGTCAGCACGGCCAATTCTATCTAGATTTTCTGTCCATTAAGTAAATGTAACTTGATGGATTCACTAACGAAGCAAGACTGTTGAGCGTTTGGTAGAAATGTTGGGGGATTCACACGCACACATGCAAGTCATCAGGTATTTTAATGAAGTCCAACAATGCTAACTGTGCGGCCTTGGGTAGTTCCGCTTCAAATGATCTTGAACTTTTTCCTTCAACAACGCACTTCAAGATCAGATTTGAAGAAGAAGAGTGACTGCATCAAGTACTATGACACTGGCAATCAATAAAGAAAAGTAATTGAAGCATAGTTCAAAGCGTTGCCTTCAAGAATGGAGAGGCCGTAACGACATTCCTGTGACGTCACGCTAGTAGCTGAAACTCAGCTGCGGTAACATGTGTTCTTATGGGAGAATGCCTGACGCGTGTACCTTTCGTGCCAATATCTTCTCAAGGGTTGATGCAAAAATTCATAAGAACCTTTTCGAAAGAGGATGAAATTTCACTCCAGACAACTAACTAATCCATTTGAGTCATTGTCTGCTAATCGAGGGAATGAAAGCTTAATAGGTACCGAAAATCGTTACTTACTCCACTTAGATTCAAACGCGCCACTCACGCAAGTTCGGCCGTAGATTCAAACGCGCCACTCACGCAAGTTCGGTCGTCGAGGGCCACTGTGATTGGTCCACCCAGCGATTGCCTCACTCATCGATGACCCGGAGATGCTTGTTGTTTTCGGTAAATATCTACTAGCTTGACGTCACAAAACTAACTAGTTACGGCCTCTCCATTCTCGTAGGCAACGTTCAAAGCCCAGTCTAATTTCCATAAGTGTGTAGTAATTATACTGTCAAATTTTCCAATCATTCTCGACATTACATTCATTTTAACTTTGATAACAATCCAGGTCATAAAGGACGAATATAACAGTCGTAAAGAACATTATATCAAAGAATAATTGAATTTAACTTTTGAGAAAATCTTTCAGATTCTTGGGGCTCCTTCATGGCAGCTTGTACACTTCCTGTATCACAGTCAGGTTGTAAATCTTTTTAAAGTGTTAGCAATGATACCGAATTAGTGTTTAGAAATATAGCCCTAAAAAAAGTACAAAAACTGGGTACAAATCAAGCAACACCCTGAAGAGGTACCTGGTTTGAAGGACATTTTCAGCCAGGACTTCAGAAATCATTCTTATTCTACCTTTCCCTAATAAATATGATGAATAAAGCACAGAAATATATTGTTATTACAGGTATGAGGCTAGTTTGGCGCCAGCATCAGCAGCAATTTGGTAAAAGAACAATTGCATCTATATCTGCACTATCTGAAACTCATCAGATGCTTCACAAAACATGTCGAGACTTTGCTGAAGCTGAGCTGAAACCCAATGCAGCTAAATTTGATCGAGAGCACCTCTATCCCAAAGAGCAGGTGCATAATAATTTTTTTCAAGTTTTCACTCGAGTGATGGCAAAATCACTCAAAATTATTAACGTTGAATATATTTTTATATTTTAGTCGGAACAAGCCTTCCCTTTTTGTTCAGCTTGGTAGCATGATTTCTTTAGGAGAGATTTTAATTACTGCTGACAGCATTTTTCCCCTAAAATTAGCATCATGTGACAACAATTATGGCCAAGTTGTGTGGCTAAAATGAAATATTTTTAAGGCTTTTTTTTTTATCCGAACCGCAGAGGATAGCTATGGAACACATAACTTTTTTATCCCGTTCCATGTGTTCCATGTAAATTCCAAGAAAATTATTATGGATAGTGGTAAACGTTAAAGTTATTAAATTTTTGTTCTAAATCTTTATTTCATTCTTTTTTTTCCTGTCATTTTGATAAACAGAAGGATTCTAGAGAGTTTCCTCTGAATCTAAGATTTTTTTATTATTTTCATTAGATCCAAAAGATGGGAGAGCTGGGTTTAATGGCGGTGGAAGTACCTGAAGAGCTTGGTGGAACTGGATTGGATTATTTAGCTTATGCAATTGGAGTGGAGGAGATATCCAGGTAGATTTCTTTGTTAATTATTTGCTTGAGGTGCCCCTACTTTTTGAAAATTGTAAAACTATTTTATACTCATTGAATTTCTTGCTTTGAAAACTGTCCCGCAAGAAAACTTTGATAATTCTATTGTATTGCAGAAAAGTTGTTTATCTGGTCATACCCATCTTTTTTTTTTCCGTTTTGCATAAGAAAGATAGTAACGGATTTTTGTTTGTTTCGGGAAGTGTCAAACCCCTAAGTTGACTGATACGTCAACTGAAAGGAGCATAATAAAGTTTTATTGCATTATTATTATCATTATTATTTACTATAAGTTTTAAATTTTTGGCTACAGAGCTTTTTCAGGAATTTCATTATACATGCCAAAAACATTTTCTATTCACCGATAATTTCGATTAATTTCAGTTTTCTCTGTTTTCTAGATTTTTTCCCCCTCAGAGTTAGGCTCTTTTTAAAACAAGCTATCCAACATGTATTAAGGCACTTGACAATCTTAAAATAATGCCGATTCAGTTTTTGGAAGCAATATCTTTTTGTGTGAAAAATTGATTCTCAAGTCTATATCAACCATGCTGAGAACAGGGTTGTATCTGGTTTATTTTCAGCAGAAAAAATTTGAGGGGTATTGACGTCTCCCTTTCTCTCTTCTGCCCCATGTCCTGTCATTGCTGTGAGCCTCGTGAAGGTGAATCTCTCCCCTCCCCACAAAAAATACTTTAAAATCAAAGTAAAAAAACTATTCAATGATGTCCGTCTTGATCATCGATGATCAGGATCAATCCTTACATTGATTCTTTAAAACACTTCTCAGCTTAACCTTACAAGCTCGCCTTTGATTCTTATCTGTAAGTTCCCAGATTTGGCTAATCCCATTCAATAATGCCACCCAGGCTGTTAGCATCTTTTACAGTATAAATCAAATTTACCATATTAAGTATTCAGATTGGGAGCTCTTCACCTTTTTACTCGCCAAATGAACCGTTTGGTGCTTTGATAAGAAAAAAGAAGAAGAAGAAAAATCATTGCTGTCAAAGGCAGAGTTGGTGGCTTGCATGGCTGGTCTAAGTTTCAAGTGGAATAATCCATCATCAACTTAAGCAACAAGTTCATCCTTAGAAGTTAGTTCATCATGAATCCATTTATCACTTTTTTGTCACATTTAATGGTAATTTTTTTCTGACAATACAGGGGTTGTGCCTCAGCTGGAATTATAATGAGTGTGAACAACTCTCTTTACTTAGGACCAATTCTGAAATTCGGAACCTCCAAACAAAAAGAAGAATATATTACGCCGTTCACAACTGGAGAAAGAGTTGGATGTTTTGCTCTAAGTGAACCAGGTACAGGAACTAATTGCTCTTTTTCAATTTTCCATACAGTATAGCCACTATTTAAGCATCCCCCATTCACTTGCATCTCTTGATCTTGTGTGAATATTAAACATTTTTGTAACACTGTAATTTAAGAAATAACAACATAAGATTTTTTGTGTAAAAACATGCAACTCATGAATTTTTATTGTGCATTGTTTAAGGTTTGTAGACTTATTCTGTATTCATATTTGAAAGCGGATCCTTATCACTATTTTCAAGCACAGTGGAATGAATTGGATTGTTCCAGAATATCACTTTGGTATTTTATTAACAAATGATCACTTTACTCATGGACCTATTCTTTCAAAATTGTATTTTTTCCAACAATTCAACATGCTTACATTTTTTCTCTCATTTTTCAACATGCTAACATTTTTCTTATGTGCAACAGACCATTTACTGGAATTTTGTGTACATTTTTTGTCATGTAGGTAATGGAAGTGATGCTGGAGCAGCCTCAACAACTGCCAAAAAGAATGGCGACTCTTGGATTTTAAATGGCACAAAAGCTTGGATCACCAATGGATTTGAATCCGAAGCAACAGTGGTTTTTGCTACAACGGACAAAGCTAAAAAACACAAAGGGATTAGTGCTTTCATCTCATCCAAGCCCACGAATGGTATGTATGGAGAGGCCTGTAATTTTGACAGCTGAGAATTAAGAGTTTGAGCCATTATTTCGATTATATGACTATAATGACGAATTTGCAGGATGAAGAAAAAACTTCGCTATTTTTGTAATTTTAAGGTTGGATTTGTATTTTTGTCATACATTACAGCGTTATTAAAGTGCTTCCATACGGCATCGGAAAAAAACTGTTAATATCAACTTGCTTATTTTACACTGCAGAATGGGGCAATGTTGCTAACTCATTTTTGCCAAAATTGTCTGTTAGGCAGTATTTTTTCAGCTCTCAATATGTTAATGAATATTTCGATAATAAATATTGTAAATGAATTTATTAAAGAAGCCCCATAATTACTTATATTTCTGTCGATTACAGAAATCCACCCATGTAATGAAAATCAACTTAGAATTTTTTTAATAGGCACTATGTACATAATTTGAGTTTGGCCCTCACTTCCAGGGTTTATAGAATGTAAATTAATTATAAGCACTCTAAACTGGCAGGGTAATCCCACTACAATGCTATTTGAAAAAAAGTCATGTGCAATACAATGAAAGGCTATGGTGCCGCAGAGATACGGAAAGTTCTGCATAACTATTACCCAACAAGTCGTAGGGCCGATTATATTTCCCTGTGTCAAGAGGGTACCAGTTTCACCTGTCAGACAGGGGTCACAGTTTCTTGGTCAACACAAAAAATGTACATCTTTAAAATTCATATGCCAAAAACGTTGGGCATTGATAGACATGATAGATGATTTGGACATTAAAATATAAAGAATAGGTTATTATTTTAAGCTACACTATCTTCATAGGAAATTTGGACTGAAGCCAGGGAGGACAATCGAAAGTCTCCCCTTGTAAGATCTGATTCATGCTAGGTACCTCATCTAACACACCAATCCTTTTTTATTTCCTTGCAGGCCTATCTTTGGGGAAAAAAGAAGATAAATTGGGGATTCGAGCTTCCTCTACTTGTAGTTTAATTTTTGAAGATTGCAAAGTACCTGAAGGAAATCTTCTAGGAGAACCTGGTATGGGTTTCAAGATAGCGATGATGACCTTAGGTATGTAATTACAATCATCGTTGGGAAAAAGTACAGAATTCTTTTTCGTTATCAGATTTGGGTAAGGTACAATTATACAATTTTTTATGTTTGCATTCTGCTTCTTACAAATAATTCAAAAGTCTCCAAACTCCAAATATTTTACTTTTTGATTTGGTAAAATATGGCAACAATGGCAGGCAGCTGCTGGTCAATGGGGAAATCTTTTTTCCCTAAACCCAAGCGGGAGAAGAAAACTCTCACACCACTTTGCAGCGCAGTCAAGTAAAAAAAAAAAACTTCCCTATTGATCAGCTGCTGACTGGCATCATTGTCACACTCAAAAGCCAACTAGCATGTCATCATTAGTCAATCTCTCAGAGTAGCATCTTAAAAAGGATGGGGAAAAAAGTGTAGCATGTCTCAGAATTGTTTTAATATCAGTTGTATCAAAAATTTCAAGTGTGGGGAATTTCCAATGCTCGTTAGTAAGCTCTTTTATAGGCTTGTTTCAACCGTATCTGCAATTTTCATAGAGTACATAGAGTCGAATATGTTGAAGTGAACTGGGGTCATGTTCTGGTCGACAAGTTCTGAGCCGAGTGTGCACTGAGATTCGGTCACCTTTTCGATTCAAAATGGCAATGTATAATACGTGATAATTCATAATCTCTTTGGTTACATTGGATGGTGTATCGTAGGCTAGGTATCCATGTATTGAAAACAACCAATCATGTATCAAAATGATGACCCGGCACTTCTCAGAAGTTATGGAATTCGGTGACTGACAAATGCTCAAAAGTGGCGCTAGCTCCTCCATTTTGATTACGACTCTGTGTATTTTGTGGTGATTTCCTCTTATTTACTGAAAATACCAAACAAGCAGAATAAGAATGCGAATTGTTTGAAGGAGCCCAAGATACCATTAAAACTTCTTTGTCAAATCAACTCCATTACTCCCCATTAAGTTTTAATTTTTACTCTTGCAGTGTCTGGTAGTCGATGCAGGGGTTTCTTTTCCTCCTCATCAAATCCTAAACATTTTTTAAGTATGTTTATTCCTCTTTTCCAGATGCAGGTCGTATTGGCGTTGCCTCTCAAGCTCTAGGAATCGCCCAAGCGGCCTTAGATTGTGCAGTTGATTATGCATCTAAACGAACCGCCTTCGGAAATCCCATCACTAAGCTTCAGGCCATTCAGGTACAAATTAAAACGGGTCTTTCACGCTTAAAACATGCAGCTAGTTAATCAAATCAAACGAAGGTTAAGCTGCATGAAAATCTCGTCAAGCCAATAGATTTATCAAAAATCCACTCTGTAATTCTCAATTTGTATTGTGCGTATCATGCATTTTCAAGTTTTCTGCATCAGCTGGCATTTCCTGTTTAATTGTTAGTAACCAAGTTTGCAGAGAGAGAAATATCAGAATATGCAGTTGGAAAAACGACCAATCTTGCGAGCTGTTGTCAATCTCTTTAATGTGTAATTTTATTTGTTTCAAAACATCTGTCTTCTCTTAATTTAGAAGAAAAAGACAAAAATCATTGCTTTAAAATGATTAAAATTAAGAGCTCAAAAGATTGATACTATTTCGTGAGATTCTTTTTTTTAAATTATTGGCTGCTAAGAAAAAAGCACTTGTGTATGCGAGATACTTGTAATCGTGTTGTATGGATCCTGCAAATTTTGAACAAGTGCATTTTAGATTTCTCTAATGTACTCGACGCGACTTCTTTGCAACTTTCTCCTTGAAAAATCTATTTTATTGGCTGCATCTCTTGTACCCCACTAACTAATTTAATAATTGGTCAATGAAAAAATTTTAGTCAGAAGAGGCAACTGCTTTACTGTAAAACGTATGAAATCAACCTGTGAGAGCAAAAATATTTTTTTTTTACTTCACCAACAACTTATAGTCAGGTCAGTTGGTTTAAAAATATTTGTGTCTCTGAATGAAAATATACTGAGAAAATTAATCAAACTCTCTTTCACCGTATATTACTAGATTTTATCAATGCTAACCATGGAAAAATGCATGCTTCCCACTGCGGCATTTTAAATCTCCGCCTAAGTTTTATTGTTTTATTTAAAAAAAAAAAAAAACTGGTCGACAATTTTTCTCAAAAATTTCTGTTAATTGTCTCCACTCATTCCAAAATATTCATCGAAAATTAAGAAATGCTGAGCTCTGTTTTCTTTTACAAATTAAAACATGCTCAGTGATTTCTATGTAAATGTGGCAATGAATGTACCCGTTTTCCAACTAAAGCCATCAATTTGGCATGAAGAGCCCTCTTTTCTGTGGTTAAATCATGATGTACGCATGGTTCTAGAATAGCAGTACATTAATTTATTCTACTGATCTCACAAATCAATTTTGAGGATTAAATTGGCAATCTTTCAGCTTTATGGTGTGACTTTTAGTCTGTTAGTTTTCCAGAAATCTGATCAATATGTTTCTATTGAAAGCTCAGTGAATACAAATTTGTCAAGGAGTTGACAGCTTTGCCCGATTTATCAGACTCTAAGATACTGACTGATTGACTTGTTGAGTTGAATTGGTCCCCTCCCTTTTTGTTTGATTTTATCCATCTGCAACTATCATCCCTCTTAACCATTTAAAGTCAAATAAACTAAGGTGACAGGAAATATGGGTGAAATATCACTGTTGTCTGCTTTTCTGGGGAAAACAAAGACAAGTGCAAACATTGCTCATCCTCAAAAATGCGTGGTGCTAATAACTCAGATACTCAGATATTTTGACCACCCAAACATCAACGGTTTTCATGATAAGTTTATTGAAAAAGTTGTATCACACAGCTAGGAGGTTGCAAACTTAATTACCAGTGTTGCTGTGCCATACTGAGTGGAAGTGGAGAACCAAAAATGGCTTGAAAATTTTGAAGTTTTTTTTTCAACATTTCAACAAAATTGCCTTTGAAAAGCAAATTTTTGCTGAAATGAGCTCACAGCTCATTAGAAAGCTAATAATTAAAGTTACAAGTTCTTATGAATCTTTCTCCATCTTCTCTCCTATCTTCCTAATTCCTAAAAATAGGCCAACTCTTTGTTTTTTTGGTAGAGTCATTTTATGATTTTTTTAAATGTAATTTTCAGCAAAAGATAGCGGATATGTCTTTGCGAGTAGAGAGTGCACGACTTCTAACATGGAGAGCTGCATATTTGAAAGATAATCATCAGCCGTATACAAAGGTATGCTTTGTTTTTCACTTTCCTTCAGATAGAAAAGGGTTTTCCTCGCGTCTTGTCATCTCCTTAAGCTCCTTGCTTTGGAAATCACTTTTTCTGCAAATCGCTTGACGATACCGTACCAAAATTTCGGGTTGTATGGATTACAACTCACAAAAATCTATGAGATATGAATAAATGAGCCCTGAGAAAAACTCTGGTTTGACCTGCAGCCCTCAGAGGCTCGCCAAAAGTAGTTTTTTGAGCACTTTATTGGCTGTTAGCAACCTTCATACTGCAGGTTCAAACTCACCGATTGTTCCATCTCCCATATAAAAGCTTGCGTCCTTTAAGGCGCTTGAGCAACTTTTTAAAATTGTGTGAAATTTTTCAGAGAAAATGGCCACTTATTTTTACTCCTTGTAGCTCGCTTTGCACGTAAAAAGGCTTTAGATTTCTCAGATTTCAAAAAGGAGGGACACCCTGAGGGGCTCGTTAGATTCATTAGGTTGCTTGATTTCCTGAATTGACTGGTTGGTAAAAATAGTCATTAAAAGAAATTCTTTCCACCTCATGATAAATTTGCAGAGAACAGAGAAAAATCAGAGAAATATGAAGAATAAGGGCTCAAGGCAAGTATAGGTCTATGGTGCACATGACCTGAAGAAAATTTCAAGCTAAGAACACATATTAACATGTTGGCGATGGAGTTGATTTTTGACAATAATAATAGGGGAATGTGGATACTGTCTTTCACTGGTGAATGACGCATTTCCAAACTAAATGCCTCCTTATCTTTTAATTGTCTTGAGAAATATTGTTACTACTTGAGTGGAAAACTGCTAGAATTCTGCATTTTTTCAAGCTGAGATAACCTGTTGAACCTTTTGATGAATCTCGGTGACTTTGTCCGTTTTACCCAATTAGTGCAATCAGGACTCAGTCATATGCTCTTTTTCCTTCTCCCAATGCGGTGATATGCTTTAACTGATTTTTAATATCAAGCGCAAAAATCAAGATTTTGCCACAAAACTTCGTAGATGCATTCAGAAAGATACGAGGATTTGATTGGCAGTGAAGGACATGTACATGTGTTGCCTTTTCCTGACAATGTATTCAATTATTCGTAATAGTGTTATTAAATTTGCTCTGTTTCATGTCCAGTATACCTCAAATATCTTTTGAGTTATTGATGAGAATGCTCCAGAAAGTTGAGGCAGTCTGCCTTACTTTTTCGACCGTCTTAATCTTGTGAGAATGAATGAGGATTCAGGTGAAGGACAAGTGAGACTAAGCATTTAAAAAGTCGCCATTGATTATATACTAGAGAGATAAATCTTTCACTTTGAATTCAAAATAAATTGTTTTCTAAAAACAGTCTCTCCTCCGTGCCTTCAAAATCCTTTCAAAGTGTAAAATAGTGTGTATCTTTCCTTACCTGTAACTATAGACTATTTTAATTTTGAAAATTCATCTTGTTGAAAATTCATCAAAGTACCGTGTATTTTGTCTATAGGAAGCTGCAATGGCTAAACTAGCAGCATCAGAAGCTGCAACTTACAATGCTCATCAGTCAATTCAGATTCTTGGTGGAATGGGTTATGTGTCTGACATGCCAGCCGAGCGACATTACAGAGATGCCAGAATCACTGAAATTTATGAAGGAACATCAGAAATTCAAAAGTTGGTTATTGCTGGAAATGTCTATAAAGAGTATGGTGTATGAAAGTGCTCTATGAAATGACTCGATGGCCGCTGTTGAAGGATAGTGAGTTTATCGGCTGTTTTAAATATCTTAATTTTGCACATATTTGCTTCAATTTTATTGAGTCTTTAAATTTACAGTTGCTCAAAAAATTTTTGGAAGGTAATGAATCATGGTTTTCAGCATATTGTTTAAAAATGTATTGCATTGACTTCCAAAAACATGGGAATGGGCTAAGTTTTTTTAAAAGGATACCAAATACGTTAACTAATTCCTAAGTGTAGAACACAAACTATCAAGTAACCTGGCTGGTGCATTCCTCTATCCAAATGTTATGTGGGAATTAGGACAAATCAGAACAATGAGTATTGGATCAATCTCAGAAGCTACTACTTCACTTCAGTCTAAGTTCCCTTTCAGAACTATGAACTGCTGATAGAAAAGTTATGCTGTCAAAGTTTTCACAATATCAAGCATGTTTTTAAAAGACTGATCCGCTTTATGTATGATTTATATTGATTTTTTACTAAATTCTATCTTTTCTTAAAACGCAAAATTTTCTGTTCACCTACACTAGTCTATACTTCTGTGGTCATGCCTTTTGAACCGACACCTCATTGAAGTAGGATTCGATAAAACCAAATTGTTAACTCCCGTCATCCTTACGAGCAAAATTCCCACTGGGCTTTCAATCAGATAGGCGACTTAATCAAAAGGGTTTTCATCAAAAGCGTTGTAAACACTCGCCTCTGATTATTCTTTTCAACACCATGTCTAAGGTCAGTCCGAATTAAGCGTAGCAAAGCTTGACTTTATTTTTATTATTACTAGCAGTATGTTTTACAAAAAGAGACATGGGAAATATTCTACCATTTAGCAGGACCTAAGATCAAAATGATCAAGGGAGTAACATATTCAAATCCTGCAAAGATCTACCAAAAGTCAATGCACCAGTAGAATGTGAGGCCTCTCTTTAGTGCATGTAGAACCCATACTGCAGGCATTTGGTGTCCTTTCAGCTGCAGTGTGTGCCTAGGTAACTTTAGGTCAAAAATAATGATAAAATGAATTATTTTTTGTCATATTATCATATAAACTGAATTTATTTTTGAGTGCCCATTATCAAATAGACTGATTTAAATGTTGTAAGAATTTTATGTACCTTACTAAGTTAAGTTCTTGATATGTTTTATAAATTTTTTAAGGCCTGTAGAACTGTTTTTAGTCATAACACATTTTTTTAGCTCTTGGCCTGGCTCTTAAAACACCTTTATTTTCTTATTAATCCAGTTGGTTAGAAGGAAAACAACAATTATAGGATCCGCTCTTAGTAAATGAAAGGAGTCCAAAACTTTTATTTGATTAGGGGTTTCTTCTAACTTTATGTAATGATCGAATTAATTGATTAGTACAATTTTCTTGAAAAGTAGACCTGAGAACAATCAGGAAAACTGAGAGAGGGGAATGAAGGAGTCTTCATTTGCCTCATAGGAATCCTTCTTTAATTAGTAGAGTCCTTGTCAAATGAGTTAATCAACTTTTAGAAGGTGAGGTACACTATACTACAGGTATGGACAAATAGAATTTTAGAAAGTCATCAGAACACGTAGATTTGACAGCGTCCAATGGTACGACTGCAACGCCATATTGAAAACTTGTTTACTTTCTATTCTGAGAGTGGGTCTCGTCAATTTCGTGTTATTTTTTCGTGTTCATAGTCAAGTTTTTCGTTATTTTGGGTTTTTTCACTTTTTTAAATTCATCTAATAGTTTATTGAAGGTACCAGATCTGCCAGAATCTTGGAGAGGGTCATTTTGAACTGTGCGGCAAAGATGGGACATCTTGCGATGTCACTCGATGGCCCATATTCTCAGCGCTGCTACTTCGGCACCCTGTTTGTTCATACCTGTGGTAGAGTGCACCTTGTTTAGAAGGTGACAGAATATTCACCATTTTTATTTCTGTCAGTATTCTTTTCAGTGCCAAAATGTGCTCCGACTCATCTAGACTGAATTCTGAATAACAGCCACAATTTTTGGCTCAGCTTAGAAACAACGCATGCTTCATTAGTTTCCCCATGCTTCTAAGAGTATGTACGGATGAGCCAGAAACTGTGGTTCCAAATTGCGAAATGTATTCCATCTCAAAATCATGGCATTGTCATTCAGAGCTGATCAAAGCTTACTTTAAAAGCCATTCTTTTTTATGCATTTCAATCAATTTTAGGCACGCATATGGATTTGGCTGCCGTAAATTACATTTACTTGAATATTTATATAGGTATGATTTTTTTTTTTTTTTTTTTTTTTTTTTTTTTTTTTTTTTTGTGTGTCGCCGGTTGCACTACCTCTAATCATGAAACTAAGTTAACCAACTTTTCCATTTTTATTGTATTATCTCATATCGTCGGAAAAAGAAAAGACCAATAGCATTGTGAGGTTTCGCCCTCTGAAGTTAACTTCAGATTATATAGCAGTCCTCAAATAGAGCTTTTTTCTCATAACCTTCTTTTTATAATCTTTCTTCTCGTATTTAAGTTGATGGATGGGTTTTATACTTTTTTAAACCAAACTGATAGTATTTTATTTTTATCATGCCACATATTTTTGAATAATAAAGAAATTGATTCTGTTGGAATTTTGATAATTTTGACATCACTATGAAGGCTAGCAAAGGGTTATTTCTTGACATTTTTTTTGAAGTTGGGCCCAGTGGGTTTGGGGAAAAAACTTTAATCGTAAATTTCCTACCCTATGAAATGACCCCTTCTATCACAATTTTTCAGTCACATTTAACCTCTGAAACTGTTCTGAAAAACATAGTGACAAAATGCTGCCAACTACGCGCACATTACCTCGAAGACCCTCTTTAGCTCTAATACTCTAAAAACTCTAGTACCAAGAGGCACTGGTTTGACAGAGACATGGAAAAATTGGATAAGAAGAAGGTAAAAATTTAGCCCTATGTTCTCTAAGATATAGGGAAAAAAATACTGTGAAAGTATGGAACATAAAAAAAATAAATGCATATCTTGAAGCACATAATTTTAGTAAATTACTTTCCTGACCTACCTTTCAATTTTTACAAGTTCAAATTTTTCATTTATCGGAGGGAATAAGTATGATAAAAAGAACAGAAGTCCATGCAGAACTTCCATCCTAGAGTTCATGTCTAGGAGAATGATTAACAGTGAGTTGCGCTTATACAATTTTTTTAATAAGAATCAACAATAACAACAACAACATTCAAAACGAAACAAATACAAGAAAAATGTATTTTTTCAAGGACAGATTTAACATGCAGTATCTTAAGGAGAATCTTCATCACTAGTTCTGAAAAACTTCACCATGTCATGCTGTCCTCTTAATCTAACTCCGAAATCAATGATTAATTTAAGAACACAACAGATGTATTAAATTTTAAGACTCATAAGTTCTGGCAGCAAACGTGTAGGAAGTATAAAATTGAAAAGGAGCCGTAAAAGTCCGATGTATTGGGCTGTACTACCAAACTAACTGTACTCAAGGCCAGAAATTGATCCCAGTTTCTCTTATGGAAATGGACACCTACAAGTGCGAGGTAGTTATCCGCTACTGCTGAGAGGGATTATTCATGATTAGTGACGTCAAGGTCATTTCACTTGAACCTACTCTCTTATGGGATCCATTTTTGGAACTTAAGAGATTACATATCTTATCATTTCTGGTGACAATAGGAGGACATTTTTTTAGCTATGAGAGAATCCATCTACTAATGGGTACCTTTGTATCAATTTAAAAAGTGTATGGTGAATAGAGAGCTGCTGGCTTTTTTTCATGGCTTTTTGGCTACCCCATCAGGGGCGACAAATATTTTGAACGATTTTCTTCAGTATCATGTTGGACAAGGAACAATTCCAACAGTTATTCAATGTTGTGAAGGTATGTCTAAAGGGTTCAGTCATCAGCTTCTCAGCTGATGCTGGCAAGACCTGTCATTCTGAACTTCAAATCTTATGCTCAGAAAAACTGAACATTTTTGCAATAACCCAAACCTTATGAAAACTATGGTTCCATCTGATAAATCGAAAAAGACCTGCACTAAATGACACAAGAGGGCCACTAGACAAGATGCATATGAATTCATTGTTGAAAAATCCATGTTAGCCTATTTTGTGCAAAAATGTTGGTTCTTCTAGCAAACAAAAAACTCCATAAGCATGTCCTTTAAAAAAGGAACCAGAACTTTAATATTAATCCTCATGATGATTTTCCATTTTCCAATACATCAAATTTCAAAGCACTAGGAAGAATATCACCACACATAGAGTCAATTTTTATAGTTGCATGAGGATCAGCACGAGTTTCACCAATGTTCACTATTACAATTGGCCGTTTCAGTTCTACAGCTTGAAGTATTATCCTATAACCAGAAAATACAGTCAATGAAGTACCTAAAACCAGTAATGAGTCACTATTGTTAACCTGTTGTCTGATTTTTTCCACACGTAATTTAGGAACATTGTCACCAAAGAAAACAATGTCTGGTTTCAGGGCACCAGTCCCACATTTCATACATGGAGGCACTTTGAAACTCTGATACTGCTCCTGCAAAAAATAATTGTTTGGCATGAACAAAATTCAACCATTGCACTAATTCTGAAAATAGATGAACAAAAAAGTATGAGAATCAACAAGACATAAAGGTCATACTCCGATTCAAATAACAGATAGTAGGTGCAGTGCCAACCACAAAAACGTTATGGGTCGCGACTTTGTTTACGATTTAAGAAAAAATTTGCAAATAGGTACAAATATGTTAAACAATTTACAGGGCTCGTACGAAACCTGGCTCAATGGTGTTAGCATCAGAAAAGATTTATTTTACGAGGGTCAATTAAAAGATTGATTTCATCTTTATGGTCAATGTTTGAATGATGATTTCACTCTTGACTTGCGCTTAGAAGATGCACAATTTAAAAAGTTTTGGTTGATTTAAATAAAACGCATCTCTCTTAAAACACAACAAGAAAAGAAAGTAGTATCCTCACATCTAGGAATATTAAATTTATATTGGTGTTAATTCAAATTGTAAGCAATGGTCCCTCGTTGTGATTTACAGGGACTGCTTTCTTTTGGTTTTTTTTATTTTTCTTAAGTTCTATTTCAATGGCCTCTGTCCTACAGAATAAATATCAAGTGCCTTCATTCCTATTTAAATGCTCCACTTTTAGGAACAGACTCAGATCTCCTGTGCTGTACTCAGAGCCCCAGGCTGATACAGGAGTCAAGTAATTTTATCCCATCTTTCCTTACTTCAATGCTGAAAAAAATAAGCTGAAAATTTGATAATAGTAGCAATATAGAAAAAAGGTTTTGAATGGAGCCACAAGGAATGAAAAATGCGCCTTATACCACATCAAGTTTCTGTGTCAACTTTTGATGTAATGTGTCCATATTGTAACAAGTTTTGGTATCATTTTCAAAAAATTGTACAAATTCTTTAATATGGTGGATGGAACATCTTGAAATTTGGCAAAGAAACTTGCAATGATGAAGGAGCAATTTTGAACTGTTAATCTGTCAGTCTTAGAAATGTATTGCAGAAGCTGGCAATTTTAATTCCATCCCATGGAAATCTTTGTTAAAATCCGTAACAGTTAAGAACTTAAAAATCATGAAATCTGACAAACCTCCGAGAGATCTACATCTCCATCAGGCCGAATGCAATCTGATGTTTCTGTCATTGTAGGATTAAGGGATGTTAGAATCTCTTGAAAGTCTTGGCGGTCAATTCTGAAGTCACAACTAAGGCACATAACTTCGTAAGATGATCCATGTATTTCAATTACTTTTTTACTTCCAGCTTTTGAATGCAATCGATCCACATTTTGTGTTACGACACAAGTGACCTTGTTATGCTTCAATTCCAGATCTCGAACAGCATAATGAGTTGCACTGGGCTGGAAGGCTGAAAATCGAGGCCATCCGACATAATTCCGGGCCCAATACCTGGCAAATCGAACAGAATAGCTTTTATAGATCGGACATTTTTTTTTTTTTTTTTCATTTAAAATTAAGTACACATCACATTTTAAATTAGTTACTTGGACTTAAGTTTAAGCTAGATAAGGAGGACTGCTACTAGGTTTCATCATAATAAAAGAGAAATATGCGCTAATCAGAAATAACAAAAAACTAAGTACGTGGCTGAAATGAGTGGAAAATGAGAAAAAAACCTGGATATTACAGAATTTTACAGCACAATTAAAGCTTTGGAAGAAAGAGAACAAGAAAAAGACAGTCAGAGGAAAATGAACTACTTACAGCCCCTATAAAGTTATTATGGAAATAAAAATTGGTTCCCTTATTATCAATTACCCGAGTTTGAGGGTCTCAAACAATGGTTGCCTGGGACTGCTTGTAGGGACGGAGGGGGACGGAACTGAAGCGCAAGGATTAGCCCTCGTGGGTTATTTGAAGTAGTAAGAAAAAAAAAAAAAAATTTCTCATTGTAATAAGTAAGTTGCTATTGAAATTCTTCATTTTATTTTGTCCTGAAATTGAGAGGCGTATGCTTATTTTCCAGAGTTTTCTCAAAATCGAGAAAAAAGACAAATCTTAATGGTTTCCACAAGAGCCAGTAAGTAGTTGTTACCTAGAGATGTTTCATGACAAAAATTAAGCCACAGCAACAACTTCAAGGAACATTAAAACATGGCACACAGTTGCAGTTGAAGTATCCCATTAAAGTGCTATCAGTATTATTTTTTAGCATTCTGAAGATTCAGGTCTCCAAGAGCTTTCAAATAATTTTCATCATTTTGTAGTCAGATCTGAAAATCTTCTTTCCATAAAGTCAGAGGCATCCGCCCCCAATGGCTTATATGAAAATTCAAGTTGCGCACAAAGCACCGGTCCCCTTTGGCACACTTAGTGCTGCTCTAAAATAAAAAAAGTAGTCCTCAGTACCTTCAGTATAAGAAACTAGGCAGGTTCTCAGGAGGATTGATATGCTGACTAGATTTCAAGGTGTTCCAATCGTTGAATGAAATAAAATTTCTTGACTTTCATGAAAAAATTCTTGAATACCTTTGTTTATAGACATACAAAGTTCAAGTGGAGTCATAGCTCCAAGGTCAATTAGTTTCGTGACCTAGAGATGATAAATCTTTTGAAGTAATATTACCTCTTGCGAGAGTCCTCAGATTTGATGAAGTCTTGAATTTTCATGGGTCGCGAATTACTGCGAGCGTACAGCCCAACGCCCTCTGATCGGTAGTCAGGAATACCACTTTCTGTAGATATGCCAGCACCAGTGACCACAACTATTTTGTTATGCCATAATAAAAATTCCTGCATTCTCAAAATGTCATCATCGTTGGGTGGTTTGTGTTTCGGAATAAAAGTGGTAATTTTCCTATTTGTAAAACTGATAAATGATTCAATGACAGAGATGTATTTCATTTTACATAATGTCTTCATTATGAAATAACTAAGCTTTCAGATAAAAATTATGATGTGTTGCCGTCAATTGAAGGTACCTGAGAATGTCAATGATGACTCTTCATTCGATTTACATCTCCATTGAAGAGGGCACATATGAAATGCGAGCTCAAGTCATTAACAAATATTGAAAGTAAATCAATGAAACTTGGTAAGCCTTAAATTATCTGTAATGCAAAATTGATTGATTTTAATTAAATTTCTGGCAGAAAAGCTGTAAAGGATATGAGAGATAAAAATTGTTGTCAAATTTGTGTGGTGTGTGAGTACATGGCAAAATCTGGTTCTTAAAATTGCCTTGAAACTGAGGTAAATAACTGCTAAATTTCACTTTGATCAATTGAAGAAAAACTGAAATTAACATCAATTATTTTTATAGACTGGAAAAGCTGCCTCGTATACTTGTTACTCGTTCATTATGTTCTTATTGTTTTCTTTTTTTTTTTTTTTGAGGTTATTCACGTGATCAACAGTGGAGACCAGGTCCCTGTTCTTCTTCTTCGTCACGAAATCTGCACTGCAAGAGTGTCCTTTCAATCATCCCTTTAGAACCAACAGTAAATTATTTCGTCCGCTGTGATGTGTCAGTTTTTAAAGTGTGAATGAAGTGTTAGTTCCATGCAGCTGGTTCCATCGAATCGAAACCACACACTTCTCACCATTTTATAAGTTCCATAATGTCTACAAGTGACGAAGACCCTGTCATCAAAGAGGTGTGTTTTGCTGGTTTTTCTCCTGAGTAACCGATGAATAGATCTCAAATCGTGTTTTTCATGTAGATGAATATTCTTTTGCCATGATGCAATACCTTTTTTTGTCATTCCTCTTTATGCGAAGCTAATGAGCGACACAATCTGGCTCATTATCAATGGGCACTCAGCACTCCTTGAACTGGCGTTCAAACTTCATAGAGTGAAATTTGCCCAGATTACAACCGTTGAGTGGATGTGTCATCTAAATAATCAGTGCATATACAGTTCTTAGTGCGCACGGATTAGGGATGGTTGAATATTATAGGTATTGGCACGGCGATAATTGCATCACATTTGAATATTCGCTTCCAAAGTATTCGAAATCGCAAGATTCGATTTTTCAAATAATCGCAATCAATAAGTTGTGAATATTGGACGCATTCAAATTTGATAACTGTCCATCCCTATTGTTAATCTCATTACTAATTAAAACTCGTCCACCACTCCACACGGGAATGACTGACTGCCTGAGTTAAAAGTGTCATTTATCTCTATCATTAACAGCACCACGTTCCACAGTTCAAAAAAATCAAAACAATAATCGAAAATATTGGTGTATTCGCTCGCGAAGTATTCGGAATGGCAAGATTTGATTCTCATATAATTGCAATCGAAAAGTTTTGAATAACTGTATTCGAATTCTATAAGCGTCCATCCCTAGCATGGATGATCTTACTAACTCACTTCTAATTTCTGCCTCAGCATGCTGCTTTTGTCATGTCTTAAAAAGCATTTTTTCAAAGGTACATATCTTGAAATGGTTGAACCTATGTTTTAAAGACAACAGATCAAGTTTCTAAAATTAGACGGATTTGACCAGATCCCCATCACCATCAGAGACAATGCCTAATTTCACTATTTCTCGTTATGTGTTGACTTAGATTCCTGTATACCTATCAAATGCCTTGCAAGACAGGCTTTACGTCTATCAGTACCCTACAAAACCTTGTGGAGATGGATACTGCACTTCAGATATTACAAAGGTGAGAAAATTTATCAGCTCACATTTACTTTTCTAGTTGGTCCATAGATCCTGAAGTTAGATTCTGCCACTGAAAAAGAGGAACCCATCATCATTTATTTACAATAATCACTACTTGTCATTCTATGTTGCTGCTGGTAAGAATTGTATTTGTTACTGGGAAATTGCAACTTTCTGGCAGTTTTCACAATATGCACAGAGGAATCTAGCGGATTGTGGTTTTTTTCAAAAAGATCTTGATCTGTCCATTTCTAATTGAGCAAGATCACCTTTGCCTAGGCATGAATAAACCTACCTGGTTTTTGCACCATGTCACACCTATAAATAGATGAACCATGAAAATATTATTCCAGTGTAAAAAATTGGTATAAGGAGCTTCTGATAGAATACAGAATGCGTAAAAATCCATTTTTAAAGTAATAAGTATTTTATGCAATTTCCGCAGACATTTTTGAGCTTTCTTTTCAGAAAGTATGCTTTTCCCAAGATCTGATTTGATATGATCATATGAACCTCCTAGAATCAAGAACTCAAGGAAACGATGGTCCGATGAAGAAGCCTCTAGTTGGAAACGTAACATTATAAATACTACCTCGACGGTGAAACTACCAGACCAGGTATCGCATTTGCAGTGTTTAAAAATCTCCGCTCTCAATTTATTCTTTTCAATGAAAACAAATCAACATCATTTCTTGAGATTTTTCTAGAGTATTCTTTGCACAGAAAGAGAAAATACAGAAGTTTTCAAGAGTTGATGTTGAGCAGTTTTCCATTTCAAAAATAAAGTATGACAGGAAGTCTGCAACGGCGCAAACCAATATACGTTGTCTGGTAGTTTTGCTGTCGACCTGTCATTAAACCTAACTTGAAAAGTATGGATGTGGATTTTTTTTTTTTTTTCCAACTGCTTATTCAATGAAGGTTAAAGGTGGGTCCTATAATGGTTATTATCTTGGGTCTCATGTGCAGTTGTCAAATCTCAGAGATTCATCTGTATCAAATGAAACCCATATTTTTGTATACTCTCTGAAGCAGGAACTTCAAAAATTGACAAAGCTCCCTGGGTAGTTAAAGTTTGGTGCTGATGAGTGAAGCTCAGAGTTTAACAATGATTTTTAAGAGATTTTGCTGTAGTAATCAATTATTCTCTCAGTTTTGACAGAAGGCAGCAATAATGCTTGTAGACTCATCACTACATTTATGCATTGACATTACTTATGGTTTTTATTTGATTTTTAGGTTTGTGTGAAACCAGTTCATCAGGAGGTGAGAATGGAATTAATACTTGATACACACAGTGTACATTACGACCAAAGCAAAGGTGAAATGATAGCAACTAGTGTAGATGGAACTAAAAGTAATAAGGCTAGTGAGAATCAGTTTTTCAACAGGTACTAATGTTTGCTACAAATTTATGCACCGCTTCCTCACTGAATTTCACTTCCAATCTACATGATATCCTAGTAATTTAGGAATTTTAAGAAGTAAATAGTGTTTGCTTAATCACCGTCTCATCCCTTATCTACTCAAAATTATCATAATTCTTACATTTTTTCACCTTTTTCATGATGGTGATTTTCAGGTAGTTCTTTAGGAATTTATATTATGGAACCGAATAACCCCAGGAGGTCTTTATCAGAGTTTAAAATGCATCTAGTGCTAGGAAAAAGTGAGGATAAGACAAGTAAAAAAAGGGATTGTAGGGAACCCCTAGAAAGAGAAAATTTGGGAGAAGTAAGGAAAAAGCAAGAAAACTTTAATGGAAAAGGAAGGAATTCAGATGAAGAGATACAAGTAGACACTCTTTCTCGAGGGGAAAAGGACTCGCTTGAAACCTTGAGCGTTGTTTTTATTGCTGTTTTTGCTGTGATTTAAGGCGTTCTTGTCTTGGTCAGCTGTATTATCTGATCCTCAATGGAGGAAAACCCATACCATGTATTATTTCTTGCCATTAATTAAGTAAATTTTAAAAGGTATTCTAACTAGATTTTTAAAACTACTATCCGTGATTTTTAGAAAAACCTACATGAAAGTATAGGCAGGATAGGCATGTTAACCCAGGGAAGGAAATGGAATTTTGCAATTTCTAGCAATTCAAAAATTAACGACACTACATAGCAAATCCTATAAGTTCCAGGCTGTGATCCTTGAACTGAGATCGCTACTAAGATTATCTTGGTCCCATTTGAAAGCATACACATCATTCCTGATCAACCGAGACCAAATACATCTCATTTGCTCAAAATTTGATCAACTTGTGAGGTTTGAACGGCAGGAGTAAAATTGCTGCTGAAGTTTGACAGTTTTTATGATTCAAGTGCCAAAAGTCATATAAGTTTTTCCAATTAAATTTATAGAGCAAAAATACATTCCAACATTACAATCAACTAGGTAGTGGTGTGTAGTCTACACCAGACCCATGTAGTAACCATAGTAATGATGACAAAAAGAAGCAAGCAAGTGCAGTCTGAAATGTTTTAGCCCACAGGCACCCTCCCAATTTTTCATGCATGTAGTTAGGAAGGCGCCCTTAATTTGTGTGAGTGTTTTTAGAACACATTTTCTATTTGTAATGAAGGAAGCATTGAAAGAACAGCATCATGATATTCATTACTGTATGTGGTAATGCTTTCAGCAACTGAAACTCTCAACTAGATGAAACAATTCAAAATATCTGAAAATAAGATTCTAAAAGGAGAATTTTGAATGATGCTAATGGAAAAATGGCAGGATGTATAAATGCTTTGGTCATAAAAATGGATACTTCAAATGACAGGTTGACATCATTAACAAAAGTGATGGTGAATGTCGATGATTTTACTTTTTGATGAGAAAAAAGTTCTTGCTTTAAGCATAAGTTACTTAACTTTCTCCCTTCAAACGGAATAATTTTGTCAATTTTTGGACAAAAGGGATGCTTTTGGTTTTAGTCGTCCAGGCATGAATAAATAATGTAAGCTTTTAAATGAGACAAAGATCAGCTTAAAAGCTATCTTAGTCCCAAAATAGCAGCATCAGTCTGAGAAATTCTAAGACAACCTATTTGTATGGGCTTCAGATGCCTCTATTCATGTGTCAATGTGTTTTCGAATCTTCATGCTAAATAAACTTCTTTTAATGTCTCATTTGTGCAGCGGACACATGGACAAAGTTGTTCTGCAATCACAGCGTATGTTGCAAAATACGAAGAATTATGCTGTCGGATTTTTGGAGGATAATAAACTATTCGTTTCCCCGGTCACTGGCATTATCAGCTTGCAGCCCTCTTTTCAGCATTATGACAAAGCAGACAAGAAGGTCAAGGAAACAAATCAAGAGTCAAATGATTGTAAGGTTAAAATATGAATATATTAGACTGTAACTTAGTAAACTTGATATTATTTAACCTTTCACATGTATTCAAAGTAACTGCACCAGAACATGACCAATCCAGTACTTTCAATTCCCAGCTCAGGCTTTACATCATTTGCAATTATTTCCGTGATGTTTGAAGGACAATTAATGCTATTGGATTGATAAAAAAAAATTTGTTTTACATACAATGAGTCTGTTGTATGCAAGAGGTACAGCCAACTAAATACATTTTCCAAGAATAAATTTACTGAAAAATCATGCGGGGCACATAAAAAACGTCTGAAACCCACTCCACTATGTGCTATCTTTGTAGTTTGTAACATGATTTTTTGAATTTATCGCGTTTGTCGGCAGTTTTTCTTGTTGACTGGCTGTCAGAGTTGCTAGGAGAGAGACCTAACCTGAATAAACAAACAACTTCATGAACTTTTCAAACCCTCCATGCGTAAGATTTCAATTGATACAAAACTCTGGTTTTTGCAAAATACAGAAAAAAAGGAAACAACCGCTCGGAAATGATTAAAATCACACAATAGAAAAAGTTAGTAAAATCTTTGTCTCTTCAAGCTAGTTTTTCTTACTCCTATGCCTGTTTAAACATGGTTGACATTGACTGAGAAGAACTGCCCGCAGACGAGGGGGAACTTGAAAAAGCGCGTTACAAACTACACAGATTGCGCATTAAGGAATAGATTTCAGACTTTTATTACGTGCGCAATGTGATTTTCGTGCGATTTTACCTTTGAAGAGAATATTTATTTGGCTGCATCTCTTGCATGCAACAGACCCATTCTAATTTGAAGCTACGAGGTGTAAGTACGAGGGTCACCCAGAAATTAAGGTCTCCTGTTGATTTTTTTGCAAATTTTAAGTGCTAGAGAACCAAAATAAAACTGTCGAATTCCGTGCACCCTCAGCTGTAATTTAAGCTATCATTCAGAGATTTTCATTTTTCAGTTCTTTTTCCACTCTGGGCTTAGCTGAAAAGAAATCGGACTCCCTGATTTCGAGGGTTATTTGTCCCATTATTTAGCCCTGTTGCCTACTCCCAGCGAATCAGACATAAATGGAAAATCTCAATTTTTTATCAAACCCTGGCTCACTGATAAGAGATAGATGAACAAGCATGAACAAGGTGTGAGACGTGTATAAATTTGAAAACTTCTGACTTGGAATTTTTCTTTCAGCAATACTCTCAGGGACTGAAGATGACGAGCCTCAGGCACAACAAGTTACTGTAAAGTTTGCCAGGCGTGAAAATGAACGAATGAAGCGTGCCAGAGAAAGGTCCTATAATTATTTCACCGCTAAAAGTGCAGAAGAAGCATGGTATACGACCAAATTCCATGATAAAAATAGTAGACTAGCTGAGGTAAGCTCAAGTAGAAAAAAAATTAGTTTCTACCATAGCAACTCATTATCTTCTTATAAACTAAGCCGTGTCAATAAACAGTATTGCTTTAATAATGTGGGATTATAAATATTTTTTTTTTTCTCATTGAAAAATTGGTAGTCATCAAATAAATCAATTCCGTGCATGTGACTTTCATGTACACATATTCATTATTAATGAAGAAAAATTTCGCGAAATCAGAGCCTCCTGTCAGATTCACTGCAGGCACAAGTTGGATCTCATCAATGATCCCAGTGAGCACCAACAATCTGTTTGGTGAGCCTCGAAAATGAGAATCGGGTTCAATGAGAAAGTATGTATTCGATGGATCAGATTCAGATGATCCATGGTCTAACTGTCAAACAGGTCACAAGCAAGGGAAGCCCAGAAATTCCTGGCCAGGCGTGTTGCAAGAAAGAGTCTGAGCAGCAAGCAAGTTTTAAGATTAAGGATTATTTAATTTTTCCACCTTTTGATAGTGTTGCACAAATTTGATGACTGCCTAAATGATTAGAATAGTAAGAGAACAACAAAGAAGGGAAAAGGACAGTTCTTGTTTATGTTTGCTGTAGCCATGACATTTTGTGGGCTGTAAGTGTAGTAGTGTTTTTTGTTTGATAGGTTTGAACGATTATTTTATGATCTTATTTAATCGCATTATTATTTACTTTTCCTTACTTTCAACAAAATTGTTGCAGGTAGAAAGAAATAAATTATCAGGATCTTCACAAGAAGATGCAGTCAATACTCTTTGTCTATCAATATCACAATATTTGGACACATTGGCGCCAGTAATGAAAGTGGATGAAAGTGTACAGTTACCAGATCTGCCCTCTAATGTCATGTCTCTCAACATCATCAAAACAAAGTCACTTGCAGAGCAAGTTGAAATAGTCATTAAAGATGGTAAAGTAGGAATAAATTTAGTTTCGTTTAAGGCACTTCTAATAGGAGCCAAGCTCATCACTAGCCCTTCCTTTTGAGCCCATTGTTTTTTAAAAAAATCTGGTTGCTACTCTAAAGATTACATACCAATAGCCATTTTTAACCCAAGGGTTGTTTTGGGACTAAAATCGTCCAAAAAAAGCAAATTAAAATGAAAAAATAAACTGAAGTTGATAAGTCGTAACATGAATTGTTAAACTGATAGCGCCAATAGCTGGTCAAGTTTTCATCATCCTAGTAGTGGCTGCAAAACTTTTTAGGTGACAGCCATATTAATAAAAACATTGGGCTTACAAAGTAAGTGCTAACAATTGAAAGTTAGTGTTGACTCTGTTTCGGGGGGACAGTAAACCAAAACCGATTTTAGTTTAGAATTTAGTTTTATCAAGTTTACAGAATCTTCAAATTCGGTTGAACTTTTAATCCTCAACTTTTCAATCTTGTGTGGTCCTCATCATGACCAGTGTAATGTTAGCTGAAGTAGTTTTGAGCCTCATTAATGACAGCATGATAGTCGATACTCTAATGCTGTTTATTTTTGTTTTTTTCAGTGCGAATTATTACTGTTAAACAGTTAGCAAGTTTATTATGTGTCCACAAAGATGACACTGCTAAGCTTTTACGCAGTTTGCAACAAGTCAGTGTATTAGTACAAGGTAAGAATTTCTTTACATTTTAGTGCAAAAATAGGTCCATCTCAACCGCTCCTTACTGCAAATAGAAAGAGCTTGATGCAAAAAAAAAAAAAAAAAAAAAAAAAAAAAAATTTCCCCCTTAGATTTCCTTCACACTGTTGATTTCTCATACTTGAATTGTTATTTTTCCAAACCAGACCCCCTAAAAATTTTGCCGGGATGCCTGGGGTGGGAAGGAGGGTCAGAGGTGGAAAATTAGTACTTTAATATTTCTCAAACGAAGAAAAGATTTCAAGACCGATTTTCAATAAGAATAGTCTAAAATTGTATACCTTCAAATTCTTGAAGAAAAAATCCCAACATTTTATTTTCAGGTCATATTTCATACAGTTTTTCAGGTTTTGAAAAGAATAATTTTTTTCAGACAAAGATAGGTATCATAAAGATATTAATTTATGATCTGAACCAAAATAGGTTTTTTAAATTGCCTGTCTTATTCTGCTTTTAACTAAAGGGTTCTGGGTTCCGGGGAAACAAACAGTTCGAGAGTTATGAAGAATAACCAACAAAACACAAAAGCCTAATGAAAACGGCGGAAATTTGGGAGCCGCAGACAGCTCTGATTTGACTTGACCTTGTTCCCACTACAAGCCTAGAGCAAGGCTCTGTAGGGTTCGATTATTTGAATTTAGTCTAGTTTTATCAGTTTAGACTCACAGGTTTTTATCTATCGGAGTAATGAACATTCACTCTCAATTCATATGCTTTCAGGTAACTGGGTGGTCAGGAGTGATCTTGTATACCCAAAAGGTAGTGTGAGCTCTCACTCTGGCGTTCCTAATGAAATTATGGCCAGAGCTCGTGACTATATCGTGAGTTGACTAATTTTTTTTTAAGCGAAAAACTGTGAAAAAATGTCTTAATTTTTGCTGTTATCTAATAAACTTTTCAAACACATAATTACTGACAAGAATTTATCATGAAAGATAACTCTTGTTCATGAAGGTGGCAGCTCTAAACATTCTCCTAAAATATAAGTAATAATTGAGACTCTGTAAATATCAGAATGAAAATAAGTAATACTTACTCTCCCTTTTAGCACATATTTACAAAAATAGATGCATTGTCCATTAAATCAGTCACTTACCTGAATTCCCAAGTGTTTCGATTTCATTTTTGGGATTGACAGTTAGAATTTCTACTCTCAATTAACAGCTTTTTTGTTTTTTGCAAAATCATTTTTTTGTTATTTCTGGATGAAGCTTTAATAAGCTTGGAATGTCATTTTGCCAGGCTTTCCTCCTCGAGTCTGTGGCAAGCACTGTGCAAATTTGAGGGGAGCCTCGCTCGCTGCTGAGGAAATATCTCAATGTTCGCCTTAAGGTCTTGTGAATAAAAACTCAAGAAATGTTTTTGGTTAAAGCTTTTCCAAATATTTCATGCAGAGACTTTTTCTAAGGACTTCTGCTTGACATTCAATAACAGAAACTTTGCGGGTGAACTTCGAGATATTTCCTCAATATTTTTAGAAGCTTGATGTAGTCTACTGAAGAAAGCTTGTAATCATGAAACTACAATACTGTCATCGGGAAATTCTATTGTTGGCTTAAAAACAAAAACCAATTCATTATTGAAACTTTCAGTGTATACGCTTGTAAGTGGTATATTTGAATTTTTTATCATCATCTACAACTTGAAAAGTGATGGCTGAGGGGCAGAATTGGGTGAGCAATTCGATCTATTGTTTGAGGGTTGAAACGTAGGTCTGGTACATAGGAACGCACAAAGGACCCGGGCTTGCCGAAGCCAATGAATTCCTAGAAGATACTTAGAGCTGTTCATCTGGCTCTGCCCCTTAGCCGCCACATTTGGAGGTCGCAGACTATAAAATCAATTATGCTCAAGAAAAAGCAAAGGGAAACTTGCTCGCTGATCAACCCTTCCACATGCATTCATTTTTTTAATTTTCTTTATGTTCAGTAAAACTATCCAAGTGTTAGTAGCTTAATCGATGTTTTTCTTTCCTCAGCTTTATCTGTTTACTGTCAATGAGTATGTAAGTAGGAAAGACATCACAGAAAAAGTAAAACTTCCTCCAGATGAATTAAAATCGATACTCACATCAATAGCAAGATTCAGAGTGCACAAAGGTTGGGAGTTGCTTTTACCTCCTGACGTCAGCTTTATGGAAAGGTGAGATTGAAAATTTGCCTTATTTACAATATACCACCTCTTTTTCTGACGTATCCTCTCAAGTAAACAGAAGGCCTTTAGATCAGTAACATTTGTGTACCTTTTTTTAGTTAGTTGCAGGCCAAAATATATTATGAAAATATTGTTAGAAATACAATGCCGGGAGCCAGGCATTGCTGCGCTTCTAAATGTGATTGTGACCAATTATTGACCACAAATTCTCTGATTTTACTTAGAAGATCAAAAGTTCATCATCCACTGTAGTTGCAGATGTTTTGATGAAGTTCGCCATTTCTTTATGATTAATTACAAATATCAATCCATTCAAAATTAATGCCGAAACAGTTGCAGTTATGGGTTAAAGCATGAAAGAAGGAGCATACATACTGTAATCACGTCCAAGTATGTAAAAGGACACGATACGTCTGAAGAAAGTTAAAAATGAACTATGAGATCAAACTATTCTGTATAACTTGTCCCTATTTATGTAGAAAGGGCACTTCATCCAGCAGCTTTAATTATTCATTTCAGTTTTAATTATTTATTAATTTTATCATATATTAATGACTTTCGTAGGATTTATATTTTGATCAAAAAATAATTGTACAACATCTGGCTAAACATGTTGACAGGAACAACATTCCAACTTTCAATCGTTTACTTCTCAAAACAAGGTTTCCCTTGAAGTATCTTTTCTTCATTCAACGTCTTACTTTTGACACCAGTCCTCTCTAAAATATGTTCACACTTTTTAGTATATTTTAAGAAGCAAATAACTACATTTCTGTTCATAATTGATGTACATATTTTCTTTTTAAATTTTTTTAAGTGAATTTTATCATCAGGAAAGGAAACAGATTTTTTTAATATTTTATCTCACTAGTATTGACAAGGTCATTGACTGCTCTGTAAGTGACCAAATTTCTTTTGCATCTACATCGTTTCTGAAACTAATTTTAAATCAGAACTTATTGATCAGTATGAATCAGTTCTTATAGTCCTTAAACCGTTTTAATTTTTGGTTTCACTTATGTTTCAGCTTTCATGAGACTGTGGAGCGCCAAAAAATGTGGTGGGATGTGAAACTGAAACAGTTATTGCAAAGTTTCAAGTCAGATCTAACAGCATCTCCTACACGCCAGCGAAAATCGTCCAACTCATCTACATCTTCACGACCTAGGAAGAATTCCAGGTCGCGAGTTGACTCAATTAGCGGTTCTGATAAAGAAGATTCACCCGTTGTTAAATCATCACCCAAAAAACGAGAGAGAAAAAGAGACTTATCATTAAGTGAAGTAGATTCAAATGTTCCCTCATACAAGTTGTCTAATAAATGATGTCTCTTTTATAAACTGAATATCCGTCTAACTCTCTAATTCTTAAAACAATTTCTTGTTCCAATTCCAAATTGGAGGTAATTTTTTCCAAGATCACGTAAGCGGAGATGACACTCTTAAGGTTTCGTCCTTCTGAGCAAGTCCTTTCAGCTTTAGTTGAATTCATCTACTTACCGAAATTAAAAACTAGTTTTTTAATCCTACATGATTGCAATTTCAGCAGTTTGCTGAAATATTTTACGGCAAAAAAGAAACCCAACGAGAGGCTTAAAACCTTGACTATCATCTGCTAATGGTAAAACCAACGAACTTCTAATTACATTTTTTAGAGAAGATGCAATGATTTACATTTATGGCACAGAGAAAAACAGTTACAAAAAATTCACAAAGGTGTATACTGAAAAAGTTATGTAATTTGAAATGTCACTAATTTCGGCGAGGAAATCACTGATTTTTGTCAACTGTATAAGATTTTGAATTAAGGTGTATAATTCTATCCCAAATGGTATTTTCATCCTTACTATACCAGGTATTTGCATATGATGGTCAAAATTTCAAGCCTATGATTAAGTTTTATCCTGTGACTCTCTGAAAAAAAGCCAAAATGCGAACACTGCAGATAAAGAGGCTCTGAGTAGACTTCACTTCCTCGCTAATATTCAGTTGCCTTACCGATGCTCAGGGCATGTAAGGGGGAGAGAGTAATGTCCAATTGCAGCAACTGTTGCAATTGTTGCTGTGGATCTTGCGTTTCAGAATTTTCCCATCCAATTGTCATGCAGTCTCAACTTCAATTTTTCATACCTCCCAAACCATTTATTTCCCCAGAACTCATGACCACGCATTAGATGCAAAATAAGATGGCCACTTAAAAAACCGGTTTTGATTGAAATAAAAATTGCAACCTTTTTGTTTTCTTTACTTTAAAAAAATTTCATCATCTAAAAAACTGGAAAAAAGTTTTAAACGCAGTCTCAAAACCTAACTTAGGATTTATACTGTGGGAATTTTGTTACTAACTCCTTGCAAAAGGGTGTCTTTAAGTTGCGTACATGTACACATTGCTCTTGATCCATATGCACTGTTCAGATGATTCCGCTCCTACGCAAATGAAGCTTACTGATAACAACAGATTTTGACTTAATAAGAACAAAGAGAATTCTAAAAAAAAAGGAAGATTTATTAGAAATAACATGTTCTTAAAAATAGGGAAGGATGGTAAACGCCACAACCAAGAAAGAAAGTCAGCTTTCAGCAAAAACAATAAGAGAAGTAAAAAGTTCAGAATTCCAGCGATGAAATGTAGCACAGATGGTAGAAAAAAGCTGAGCATCATTTGTTGGAGAAGTGGCTTTTCCATTTCATTGACTAACGATTACCAAGACTAAATATACAGAAACACGTTTAGAGCACGTGTGCGGTATCACAGCCAAGGTAATTGAAAACAAAAGATTCCCTAGCCAACTACTCCACAGGGATTTCTTCAACTTTGATTAAGAATTCAATTGATTCTTCTTCTACACTTCCTGCGTCAGCGCCTTCCAAGTCATCAGTATCAACATCTGCAAAAAGATGGAAAAATAATCAATGGATGGAACCAGTGACTTGATTTATCAGTCATCTATCAACCATGTTAATGAGATATGGCAGAAGCTGTTCGTGACGTCTTCCCTAAAAGGGAAAAGCTACAGGTTCACTTCTCAGACAAAATTTCTTTGATTTTGGAATTCCCAAACATTCTCGGGTTTTAGGACATAAAATTCCCCGACATTTCCATGAAGTTTCAAGGGTGTTGAATGTTAAAAAGTTTTCATAGACCACTTTTAAAATCAAGTTCTTTTAGGGTTAAATGAAGAGAGAGGGATTCAGGGACTTCGGAGCAGAGACTGTTGCAATAGGCATCTCAAATGTTTATCAGAAGTACAACTTGTAGACTTTGCCTGAAAAATACAAACTGTATGATATTATAATAATTATTTAACATAACAAACAAATTTTTTAATTCGACAGCAAATCACACTGGACTTTAACACTCTTCACCCTTCAGCACTTTTCTGAAAATCTGATTTCCTGAGATTCTTTCCAACTATTTCAGAGCAAGTCATTCTGTGGCATCGATTGGGAAAATGTTATCCTGACATTTAATCTAGTCTTTGCCTTCAAACAGAATATCAAACAGTGTTGATGCAGAACATTGCAAGAGTACTTACGATTACGAAGTTCCAGTCGTCGTTTCTTCTTGTCCTTCCACCGTTGCATTCGTTTGGTTATTGACTTCTTGAACTCATCCATTAGTTTACATCTTGCCTCAATTAATTCCTGGAACATTTAAAGAGTTGTTTTAGAGGAGAAAATGCCTTGAAAAGATAAAACTTGTACAAATATAAGTTTACGATGACAATCATAGGTATATAAAAGTAAGTGGATCCTACATTAGTTTGAACACTTTGAAAAATTTGACGCTGATCTTTAAAATTTGAATAAACTCTGTCAAATGAATAAACTGTTAATGTTCAATTTCCATACATCGATAAATCTGTTTTTATTATTATCAAACACTGGATTTTAAAGTGATTTTCAATTTTACTGGAAGGAACTGTTTTGGGGTAAAACAATATCTTCAGAAGATTTTTGCTGAATAATTGAAGACACAGTGGGTCAATTGGACACTGCAGATGCAGCCAATGGAGTACACCTTCAATGGGCAAAATCACATTTTATAAATCTTGGTAGGCTAATTAGAGATGGCTAAAAGGCATCCTAAAATGTATGATGAGCATAAACTGAATCATACACTTTCAAACCTGGCAGATCAGTTTCTTTTTCTGCCCTACCTTCTGCCTTCTTCCTTCAATCAGTCTCAAAATTAGGTTTAATCGGAGGGAAATGTATAAAAAAACCTACTTTATGTGGGCAAGCAATTCTTCTATCTGTTTTTTCCTCATTAAGATAAGACAGCAACATCAATTGCTTTAAATTGATTGGAATTATACGTGAGGGAGATTGATAACAGATTATGAGATTGTTTGTTTATTTAGGTTAAGATTTCTCACATCTCTGCCTGAGTCAAGCTGATCACCAGCAACATATGAGGACTTATATGTAACAATAGCGGTTGCTGACATACGCCATTTTTAGGGCAAACGCTTTTTTCGAATTCTGGAGCTCTCAGGAATGCCTGTGCAAAGTTTCAGACTTCCAGCATAATTATTCGGCGAGATATAAACTGAAAACCATGTTACTTGTAAAAGCAGCGGATATGAGACTCCACTGTCCTCAGTGTTCTCCTCAGCTGGCGCGGCAGGACACCGCGAAGATTCTAACGCACTTGCGATGACCGTAGAAGATCGTAAAACGTTTAGTTTTTACAGGAAGAGTTGCTCTTCATGAAAATCTTTATAAGAGTCCTCTCGGTTCTACAGGCGGCAAAGTGCAAAGCTTCAAAAACTTCAAACGCGATTTTCTCAAAATGTGAAAACTCGACATCCGCTAGTGTTACATGTAAGTCCTCGTATGCGTTAAGCATCATATGAGTCAGATACCGCAATAAGATGAATAAATCCGATCAGAGAATGAGAGCACTGCTAAAATCCTGAATAAATATTCATTCTCGCTTTCTTAGATATTTAAAGTACAATCACTTGGTAATTTTTCCTTTTGGACTGGCATTAGGAACAATTTTAATTGTAGAAGGCTTGTTCCGTTACCAAAGAAGACCGTTATAACAATTGATCTGACTATTTGAACCACGAATCTCACCTTTGATGCTTTGGTCATCCGAGTTCTATCTTTTTGTTCGAACTCTGAAGTGTACTTCTTCAAGTTCTTCTTGATGTCCTTCAGTTGTTCCGGAGAGAGTAAAGTTGGTGGGCGTGGTCTCCAGGCAAATTGAACGAATGATGTAGTATTGTACCGCTTAAGTATTTTCCCTTGGAAAGACCAAATCCAGTACCCAGTGTCAATCTGCAATTAAACCACAGACAGTTGTCAAATTTGGGAAAACTTATTACTCGCAATTTTATGCAATGATTCCAACTCTAATCTTTGGAAGAATTTTCCAGCTTCCACAAAAGAAATCTAATATCATTAGGTTCAAGCGTTCTAAAAGTTTAAAATCTGCCAAGTCTGCCACCTGTGTGGAGTATCTGGTCTTAGCTACAGAAAAAACATTTTACATGAACTAAAATTTAGGCAAATATTTTTTTTCTCTCTTTTTTTTTTTTGCATAAACGTGATTAACAAAATTTAGAAACATGTCCTATCAGATTTTCCCAAGGTATATAAATTTCAGCAAAAATATGAATACTACAAAAAACCGGTAATAATTATCTGTGTATACTTAAGTCTGTAACTTTGGTATCAACTGTTACAACTTGCTTTTTTCCCTTATAGTTGTCAGTTATATTAATTGACAGTTATCTCTTTCATCCATACACATATGTAAAGAAGGAGCAATAGAAAAAATGAAACTTTACTGACCCAGTCGAAACTGTTTTTCACTGAGTTAAGGGAAAAGGACTATTCCTGTTCCTTAAAAAACTCCGATCACACATACCTTCGACTTCCACTGAGGCACACCAGAGAAAATGTAGCGGCCAGTTGGATCCCATTCAACCTCTGAGGCGTTGAAATGCTCTGTGGTATTCATTGACGCAAAATCATTGGTGTCCACAAATTCTAGAGCTCCACTATCTGCCAAGAGTTGAGCGAGAACTATGAACTGACCATGTGGAGACCAGAATAAGTGGCTGCAAGTTCGCTTTTCAAACTTTTCTGAAGAAAAAAAAAAACAAAAAGAATTGAGGATAAGTCATAAGAGAGGTACATAGTTACAAAATCGATTCAATGTCAAATCTTAGTTTGAGTGTCAAAAGAAATTCATCATCTCATGAGGAGAAAATTTCATTGAGCCCCTAAGTTTATCATAATTTGGCTGAATCAGAATTTTTTTTCAAGTTTCTGCAAAATCTTTCAGTGTCCCATGAAACAGAATTTGACTTGTTGAAAGTGTTTGCAAAGGGATTTTTCAAACTGGTCCGCTTACAAAAATTTGTACCAACCATTGGACTTTAAATAATTATTTTTTTCTTACATATTTTTGGAAAAAAAAGCAAAAATATTGAAAACCAATGTACCAGGAAATTTTCAACTTCAGTCTTCGGTAATTAAGCTGACTTGGAGTTCATTCATACAGCTGAAATTTGCAGCTTAGTGCTAGTCTCAAATCAATCATTATTTTGATTTGCATCCACAGGGAGAGAATGCATCCGAGAATTTTAGCTTCTGAGGATTCAAATTAATGTAAAAGGCACTCGAAACTTTTTCATACTCGCTCAGACAACACTGGCTGAAACTGCTGAGCCAACGCGCTACTCACAAAATTTGCAGCATTTTCCTATTGCCTAACTTTCCCAGGTTGCTGTATATTCCCTTTCCAGATTTCCTTCACTGCTGGAAACCCGGATCTATCAAGTGAATTTCTGTAACCAATGATTTTTTCTTGTCTAATAGAGGTTTCCCTTGTCTTGCTTTAGGTATAGGGCTCCTTTAGGTTTGAGCATCCTCTCCAAAACGCGAAATTTAAAACAGCACAATTTTAATTGGGGCTCATTGAAAATCAAAACATAAAAAAACTTACTCAAACAAACAGGGTCCTGTTTTGTTTTAACATTGTAAAAGCTAACAGTGACGTTCTTTGGTTCTCCATGAACAATTGCGAATTTACTGCCAACAGGTTCCCAGGCAAACGCATGGATTTGTTCTTTAATTTCGATACTGTCAACAGGGATCAATTTTTCCCTCATGTGGAATATTTCCAAGTTATAGTACATTTTCTGTAAAGTTAAAAACACAGAAAAAAGTCAGATTCATTCACTACATAAACCTCCCGACTCATCTGCCAATAAATACATTGACTGATGGAGCAGCATGGTGAACCAGCGTCCAGCGAAGGACATTTGGATTACATTTTGCAATAAGGAACCACTATTTCTGGCCCATTTTAGAAACAACATACATGTCATTGGTTTCTCTATGCAGATATGTGCTTTTAGGGGAGAGTCAGAGATAGTCGTTCCTTACTGCAAAATGTAGTCCATTTGAGAGCGGGATGAGAAGCTTTGCAATGCACTGCGTTTGGCAAGAGGGAAACCTTCCTTCATTGACCTTCCTCAGGCCTTGTCTCCACGAGCCGTTTTGCGAGATTTGTCCCAGGGAAAAATCCCACTTACAAAGTTGGGAAAAATATTGAGTTAATCAATATTTTTCCCAGTACCAAGTATGGTACTTGTACCCCTAGGACCCACTGAGAGAAGAAGAAGAAGTGAAAACGAATTGTGCGATATTTTATTCATTACTACATTGTTCATGTTTGTTTAGTTAAAAAATGTGTCTAATTGTCAATTGAGTGCAATTATTATTTTAATCCCCGTCAAATACTCGACTTTAACTAATTTATCTTCCCGCGCAAACTAGTCGCAGGACTGCAAAGAGCCCCGTCCCGTGGAGACGGTAACTGGGAAAAATCCCAGAAGTTTCATTCCTGCGACTCGAACTTGGGAAAAATCCCATGAAAACGTCCCGTGGAGACAAGGCCTCAGTTGCTCACGTTAGCTTAGTGCTTCTTTGGACCGTTATCATTTATGCATATTATTTATTACACACTTAATTTAGTAAACTTCATTGTTGTTGGTAAAATCTGTGACCAATGAGGGCAAATAGAAGCCTGGGGGTGGGCCGAAAAACAGCTTTTTTCAGAAATCACGATGATAGTGCTCTAAACTTGCGCATTGGCATAACTTTGAAACTTATCAAGGAGTGTATAAACAAGAATTTGTTTGAGCTTGCACCCAGAAGTTTTGTATAAAGTAATTTTTTTATTTCATGCGTTTCTTGTTGATTTGATTGAACTTCATAAGCATAGTAAAAATCAGCTAGAGCCCTTATTTCCGGGATCTAAACTTACATTTAGCAATACTTTAAGGCGTGCTGACTGGCTTTAGGATTAAAGTAATAGTTGTGCTCCCTACAATGCTGGAAACAAAATTGTGACTGTTTTTTCAACAATCATAATTGTATTTGCGAGTGACTAGGCGAATGCGCAGGAAACCAGCTTCCAGTTTTTGGGGACCATTTTTTTAACGGATTAAGAGTAAAATATAATTTATCTTGAATGTAAAGGGGCCCATACAATATTCCTAAACTTGCCTCTGCTCATATATCTGTGAAAATGTATGTTTTATGAATTGTTGAGTGCAACAAAGTTTTATGAAAGATATATCTTGCTCTTATTCCGATTTATTGTTGGGAATTCTGTGGATTCTTTGGGCCTACAAGGCATAGAGGCCACATAATGGACCACTAGACAAAGTACGAATTTCAGCATTCTGATACATGTTTCTTAACCTGAATTTCACGTAGAACACTATATGCACAACAAAAATTACCAAAATTAACTCCTTACGAAGATATTTAATGATTCTTGATGCATGAATTCAAACCATCCGCTCATGAAAACTCAATACTCTACGTGATTCACATCACGCGCTAAACGTTATCATGACAGTCTCTGCGATATAAAAATCTGGCAACGTCGATCTTGACGCTTTGGCTCAGCTATAGCAAATTACTTATAGTTTGAAAAACACATGGTGGGAAATGAACATTGCTTGATTGAGAAGCTTGCTGAAACCGTTGTAGTGCGCGCTTTGACTCACGTAGAGCTTTGAGTTTCTTGTGAGCGGGCAGTTCAAATTCCTCGTAACTAATGTGAAATAAAAATGTTAATATCTCCGTTAGGAGTTGGTTTCAATAATGTTCGTTGCGTGAATCTTGTTCTACGTGAAATTCTGGTTAAGCAACATGTATCAGAATGCTTAAATTCGTACCGTGTCTAGTGGTCCATTGACACTTAACCCAAAATTACCACGTGACAATGAAAAAATGTAAGGTTTTAACACACAAGAGTAATTTTTTAATACAGTAAGACCTTGATTTAAGATATGTCAAGGGACTGACAAATCGATACATTCAAGCATGGAATCCGTTAGATCGCAATTCGATGCATTGAGGTCTTACTGTATATCAACACAAGGCAGTGGCATGTAGCAAGTTTTAGCATGTGTCGTTGTCACTATAAGTTAGTAGAGTCCATGCCAAATAAGTTAACGCACTTCTAGACTGCAAGAGAAGATCGCCTGACGTCACTTTGACATGCAAAGTGAATGGAGAAATCAAGATGGTGGATCTTCTGTCACAAAAAATGAGTAAATTTTTTTTGGCGTGGACTCTACAGCTAAATAGCAAAAATTGATTCATTAAAAAATTACTGTTGTGTGTTCAAGTCTATTATGTGTTCTGTTTCGTGTTCTTTCATTGTGTAATTTTGGCTCCGATGTCAATTGAATCAAGGAGCACGAAAGCACACCAACTCGGTAACTCAAAAATGCTCAATTTTCATTAAAGAGAGTCAGTTTTCATTAAGGTCATTAAAGTTAACGCATCTGTTCCAGCTTGGACCTTTAAAGTGTCCTGAAGTACTTGTCTTTCGGCACAAAAAATCTATTTCTTGTGCTAACTCTTCAACTACTCCGCAGTTTTGCAGGTGTCTTGATTATTTTCATTTTTTCGAGTTGGTGTGTTTTTGTTCTCAGTGATTCAATTGTGGGGCCTTCATGCCTCAAAAGCCCAAAGGGGATCCACTAAAGGTTCAATGATAGATCGGAGTAAAATCATGAGATGATTACCGGTTGCTGATACCGATACTTGCACAAAATAGAGCTCATTAGCTGAGGTAAGTTAAAGCACAGAGGCTCTTGAGCATCAAAAGGTACTTACACTGTACTTGATATCATTTTTTTCCTTCTTGATTTTGCTGTATCGATCCACTTTGACACAAAGATAATCTCCACTTTTCTGCCAATGGATTTTACAGTCCGCTACGTTGAAAACATTGTTAGTACGAAGTTCTTTACGACTGAAATCCAAAAGAGATCAAAATAATAAAACCAACATTAAAAGAGAGGGCTGCAAAAATGTTGATACAAATACAGTTAGGAATCGTGTAGAGAGTTACTTTGCTACTTTTGTGAACGAGGTGCTTCACCTTGTTTCCTACCATGCAAATCGTACATACATGATTCACAGTAGTGGCAAGATGCGGAAAACTTCCACAACATTAGTGACACTACTTACAAGTCAGTTATTATGTAGTAAACGAAAAAATCTTCTTGTGAAGGCAAGCTGGAAGTAGCACTGTGTTACCATCGTTATAGGGTGCCTTGAATGAAGTTGTGTAAAATATTTTGTGAGTCCGAATTATGTTCTAAGTGAAAGATTTAAATGACTAACTGCATCAGAATTAAACTAATAACTCAATGAGCTTGTTAACGTGTTTCTAATTCTTGCATTTTCAGAAACTGCATTGTCTCCTGATTACGCAGTAAATTTTTCAGATTTTTTCGAGCCATTTTTCCCTCCGAAATCGACTTTTGAAGTTCGAAATTTTAAAATGCCGCGTTTGCCCGCACTTTAGCGGCAATTCAATATGGCGCCGGAATTACCCCCCTGGCTTTCTTGCCACACATTCGACCGGGCGCCGTCAGCGGGACCTCTACGCGTTCGAATATCGAGGCTAATCAAAACAACTAACTGGCTGTTATCAATTTCATCTTTTGACAAAGATTTCTCTAGTTTCTGGCATATTTTCTGAACTGTTATTCGTTCAACTAAAATATCTAACCTTGCTTTACGAATATCTCGACCTGCAATCTCCTTGGAACGTTGGAAAATTCGAAAATATTGACCAAATTTGTGCTAGTTTACTTAGTCATTTCAGTACACTGAGATACTGAGTTTCCATGGTAGTGAAGTGAATTTGGGAATAATTCTTCTTGAAAATGTTGAGTGCATATGTTTTTGCAGTAGTTTTTGTTTAAACTTCAGAAACAACAACAGATCGGCCAGTCAAATCCTGACACTGTTATTGACCATGCCGAAGCTTCATGATGCGAAGCCTCGTGCTTTGTTTCGGGAAGTAAATATTTTGGAGAAAACTTCCTACTTCTCATTTACAGCAATCTAAATAGAATCAGTAATCGAATGTCCTTCCCTTAATGGCTCTCTTTAAAGAAATATCCACAATATATTACATGTAGGTATCACTTGTTTACTCTTAGGAAGCCACCCAAGAATGAATAGCCTTCAACAATTTTCTATTCTGGGACCGTAAACTTATTAAACTGTTCAGTGTTCCATAATTATTAAGAGGTATATTGTGAATTGCTAGTGTGTGCCATTCTTTGATAGTTTGTCTCAATGCGAGATATAACATCAGTGATTTAATCTCAATTTCTCATCCACTCATTTTCTACGTAATCACATCCTCCACATGACTTTGATTCACTTTGAACCTGATTTTTTTTTGGTAAATAATGGCTCACTATGCTGAGCGTTTTACCAGAAAGTCAGTTTTAAGTTACATTCTTCGACATGGAACTACATACAAATTTTGTGAAGATGCATGCCCTGACTCTGAATAAATGGATGTTATTAAAAATCCTGAAGATGAAAGGTGAGTAGCTAACTACTTTGTAAGTTCCCTTCTCAATTTCGATTACCTAAGTATATGGTTTCTAATGGCGGATAGTAAGAGTCGTCCAGAAAGTAAGTTTACCTGTTAAATACTTCCTAAACGAAGATAGGTAGAGACAATCTGTAATAAGCTTTGAAAAGTCACTACCCTGGTTCTCTAATACGCTGTAGATTTTAAAATTTGGCTTGATAGAACTCTAGAAAAGTGGGATTTTCTGAACCCACCTCCTCTCCGCACGGGTTCAAAATTAGCGATAGACACAGTGGCTCATTTGCGAATGAGGCTCTGTAAAATTTTGGACCTGTGCGGAGAGGAGGTGGATTCAGAAAAAGCCACTTTTCTAGAGTTCTATCAAGCCAAATTTAAAAATCTATGGCGCGTTAGAGAGCCCAGAGTATTGGCTTTTTTAAAATGTATTACAGATTTTCTCGAAGTACCTATCTCAGTTTAGGAGATATTGAACAGGTAAACTCATCTCTGGACAATCCTCGTGGTTGTTCTTCCCTCTTTCTTGCAAATTCTTTATTGAAATGAAATACATAAGGCTCTTTATCCTTGAAATATCATTATGAAAAAGCAACTGAGTTTAAAGATTGAGACATAAAAAAGATAATGGTGACAGTAAAATGAGGTGAGAAAATCTACCAACTGGAGGCATCCACTTTAAAATATTGCAATCACATGAATTTGTTGGCTAGCGCATCCATCTACATAATTGATTGTAAGGGTTTTCATGGGTGTACTGAAGGAAAATCTAGACAAATTTTCTTCGACTCATAATTTGATCAGTACCTAGACATTTCTGCTGTGAAATGGAGACCTCAGGTTTCCATGTCAATCCAGTGATAAGAGAATACCTTGGTGTGCCTTCGAATTAACACTTGCTACATTTTATGTGATTTTCAATTACTGGATATTACATTCATTGCACACCGCAAACATTTTTTATGAGAAAACTACATATGTTCCAAAGAATTTAAAACAAGTCATGTGCACGTTGGAGCAAATTTACTTCTGTTCTAGTTTGAACATTATTGGTACGTACCTTTCAATTTCAGGATTTAACGGCTTTTGCCGAAGGGTCTGTTGTGCCGGCACACACAGTTCCAGGGTAGAATGGAGATCCATGTCGAAGAAAATTCCTTTGAACTGATTTTTTAGTAAATAAATGCTCAGATAACTGAAGCATAATTTACTACACTATCAGACTTCAAAGAGAGTTGGTCATGAGGAAGTATTCACAACAGCAAAGGAAAGAATATGTGGATATACAAGTAGAGGTACTTAATGAGCAAATATACAGATTACTGACTTTAACACTCGAAAGAAAGGAGGAAAAATCTTAGAGTAAGTGCTTGGTATCAGATGTTCTAGCAGCAAAAAGCCCGTCCAATGTGAAGATTGTTTGATTACCCAATGGTTGCAAGTGCAAGAATCTATGTATGACCGCAGAAAATGTATCATTAGAAGAACACTTTTAAGTATATTTTGACTAACACAAACACTGTAAAAATCGTGTGCAATGTTAACCCCAACACCGAAAACACGGTGATTTCAACTGAAAAACCAAGCCTTTAGATACTTAAGTGATAGGGACACACACATATAACTAACACAGTTTTGGAAGCTATTTCCGGATTTCCCAATGTTTCAAGGAGATTGCAGGTCGAGATATTTGTAAAGCAGGGTTAGATATTTTAGTTGAACAAATAATAGTTCAGAAAATATGCCAAAAACTAGAGAAATCTTTGTCAGAAGATGAAATTGATAACAGCCAGTTGGTTGTTTTGATTAGCCTCGATATTCGAACGCGTAGAGGTCCCGCTGACGGCGCCCGGTCGAATGTGTGGCAAGAAAGCCAGGGGGTAATTCCGGCGCCATATTGAATTGCCGCTAAAGCGCGGGCAAACGCGGCATTTTAAAATTTCGAACTTCAAAAGTCGATTTCGGAGGGAAAAACGGCTCGAAAAAATCTGAAAAAATTACTGCGTGATCAGGAGACAATGCAGTTTCTGAAAATGCAAGAATTAGAAACAGGTTAACAAGCTCATTATAGAGAAGAGGAAAAAAGCTTTGGTGTTCAATTTTTACCTATTCTGAATTGAACTTTTGGCAGATGAAAATTTATCCGACTAAAACTGAAAAATACGTACTTCTTATGAATATTTGAGCAAAAATTAAACTAAAGACAAAAAAACTGCTTGATGTTTGAGGCTCATGGCCTTGAAAGTAAATGTTCTGTGGATGCCTCTTTTGCATAACTGGAAATCAGGCCTTTAGGCGATAATCTGAATGGATCATTAGATAGCGTATGCAGCAAGAGCCGCAATATTTATTACCCAATCAAAATTTTATGTAGAATACAAAAGATGCATTAAAACTTTCCAAATTCAACTTCTAAGTTGAAAATAACAGTTCATGTCTTCATCAATTCACACTTCCCGCTTACAGAGAAACCAAAGTTGCTTAAAGGAAATCGCGCACATAAGTAATTTCAGTACATTTTGAAATGAAAAAAACTTTCCTATGCACTAACTTTTTTTTGGCAAAATTAAAGATGCCTCTCTATCAGAGTAGAGAAACAATGTGTGTGAAACCAAGATCACCTTATTTGCCTGATTTACAGGTTGGTTTCAATGCCTCATCTGGCCTGCGTTGATGATGGTTTCTTTGCAAGCGGGAAGTTTGAATTCACTGTTTACGATGTCAACTACGAACTTTTATATCTCGCTTACAAATTGATTTTGAAAGCTTCCAATGTGTTTTATGTCACCTACATGAAATTTTGATGACAGCACATTTGCTGAAAAGCATAATTCCTTACCCTGTCTAGAGGTTCATTGTGACAGAGAAGAAAAAAATATTCACCTGGGAACTTCCATGAGGACAACACGAGCAGGTCCATCTTTCGACTCAGCAACCCAATATGCTAAGATGTTGTCAGTTGGTGACCAAGAGAAATCCTTGATGTCTGAGACATTGATGCTTTTCTTGTCCAATAATCCAAAAGACTAAAACACGACACTGAATTTAGTACTTCTAAAAATCTCTCATTCACTTTAAATGACAGGAGCAATGGTCCAAAATATGCAGGATCATGGGTCATGTTCAAAAAGGCAAAGGTTATTAGGAAAGCTATGACTCTGTCCACCCCCCCCCCCCCAAATGTTTGTGAGCAAAATTGAACGTGGTAATATCGCAACCACTATTGAACTTTGCAATTCTGCAAGAACACCTTGCTACCACGATCAACAATTTGTCATGTTAGGTGACACACACTCAGTCTTACATAGTTATTTCTGGACTTTCCATAGAAATGTCTATGACATGGCAAAAGTTAAATTTTTCCTGTGAAACTCTGAATTATGGGACTGGAGCTTAACTCAAATTTCCTTTGAAGTCAACTCAAACTTGGTCCTGCCAAAATATGATTTGACAGGAAATGGCTGGACAACATTTTAAAAAAGAAAATAGCATAAAAAGCCTGTACTTACTGGTGTTTCATAAATACTGAGTAAATTACGAGTTATTCGGGCAAAATACTTGTCATCTTTGGACCATCTAAAAATGGGCCAAATAGCCGGCATTTCCAGACTGAAGGATCTCATTTCAGCTCCAGATCGAATGTCAAAAATAATTAATTTCTTGTTGACATTCTCAGTTTGTGGAGAGTATGTGACCATATATCTAGAAAAAAAAGAAGATAAAATGAAGATCAAAATACAAATGCCCATCTCAGCTTTTCATTGAGACGTAATTCATTGTGTGGCTCTGCCAGCAGGGACTGTCGAGACAATTTAAAAAAAAGTAAACTGCGAACAGAAAAAAAACCACTAGGGAGCGTTCATAGATTACGCAACACACTATTTTGGCTTTTTTGACCCCCCCCCTCCCCTTGTGACGTTTTAGCGACATAGATCCCTATTCACTAATACATAAAAACAAAATGGCTCAACACTTT